AATCTGTGATGCTTATAATTACTGTCATATTACGTGTGTGGTATAATACATCCGTGAGTTGCCATATCTAGTCTCTGTTTTTAAAGGATAAAGATATGTTTTTGTACAGTTGTTTTGTACGAAAAATGTAGCGCCTTATTTTATAAAACTTAACATGTTTTTTTTTATATAATGAACGTGAGTTAAACATGACTTGCGAAGTATTCGTTTAAGAGACTGTATCTTGTTTAGCCTAATAAGAAATTTAAGTTCTAAATTAGTTAAAAGTAGTTTCTTTTAGGGAAAAACAACTTCAACAATTTAAAGGTGTGGTAATCGAATTCAAATAACATAGACATATTTTCCTAAAATAGGACAGGTCAAAAGCATATTTTGTTTTTTTTTATCAATGAACTACCAACTAACAAGGACGTTTTAATTGTTTGTCATATTACCATTATACAGATGATTTTAGGATTATAACTAATATATTAAAACTATTTTTTGTGCTACTGGTTACTAAAAAAAATATTTAAATGTTTCTTAAAAATCTCTCTATTTTTGTTTCATAGTTGCCAGTTTGGAGATTATAAACAATAGTGTGTAGTTGGCCTAAGCTTTGCGGTCATTCAGTGCGAATGTTAGGCCACCGAGAAACTATTCATTGGAACTGTAAGCCTATAAAATTGTTATGAAATTCTCTGCTTACTTATATAAGGTTGTAAGTAATAATGTTTTTAAATTATGATCTACAATATGTAATTATTATTACTATAGAAAATAAAATGAATCCTTGCTCGTTAAACATTTATTATTAAATTTTTTAGGTTATATTCGAAACCATTGGACTATTCACAAAACATATTATGTCAACTATACAGAATGTTTTTAAATTGGAAGTTTTATTTTTCGAAATTGTTATTATTTTGAATCTGTCTTTCTTCAAATCAAAGTAGAACATCTTGTATAAAAAGTTTCGTTTTAAAACAGATATTCAAGTATCACAAGATTTTTCCCTTCGTGTTGCAAGTGAAAACGTTACCAAGACCATCTCTGATCTTCCCACGTTCAATGTTACCATTTTTAAACTATACCATAAACAACACAATTACGTAAAAACTCTCTTGTGTCGTGTTGCCATTTTACATATCGTATCCTTTAAAAGAAATATTCAAGTACTAGCTGTCGCCTGCGACTTCATCCGGGCGGAATTAAAAAAAATCTTAATTAGTTGCCTATGTGTTCGTCCAGAATATGTTCTACATATATTAAAAATTTCGTCGAGATGTAAATAGCCGTTCCGGGGATGCCTTAAAACAAACATCCAAATATTCGCATTCATAAGATTAGTAAGAAAGCTTTCTTTGGTAGTAAGAAGGTTAAATGATTACTAATTAAGCTTCCAGTAAGGTATGAGTGTTCATGCCCTACTTACAATGTTGTGGATTTCCCCGACTGCTTTTTAAAACGATTACAAAATAGTCATTCTCAAGGTAACAACATAAAGTATACGTGGTAGATGGTATCACTTTGAGATATATGTCCTTCTATTCAACTTTCTTGAAAAGTATTTAAAAACAATTTGGGAACTTTGTGGATTACTTATACTCCAGAAAAAAGTAATCCTTAAATTAAAAAATAGCAATTTTGTCAGTAAGAAATTTAGTTCAAGTGCTAGCCTTTCATAGAGCAATAATCCAGTATTTTTTGCGTCTATTTTAAGTAATAGTTACGAAAATTGTTATTTAATCTGTCTGGAACTTTCATTCCATTAAACTCATTCATTTTAATTGAACTAAATCGCGGTTGCTTTTTGTAGCAGACGGTCTTAGAAATTGGCGCGCGCGCGAGTATAAATGACAGAAAAACGAAATAAAAGAATCAGCCACCATTACGCAACAAAGCGCGCGAAACGACAACTTTCACATGAATTGCCGATTTAATCGGAACACTATTTCAAAAATATGTGATTCATAACTTGACACTAACCTAATAAAGATATGACGTTTCTTTTTTTTAATTTTAGGCGAAGACTTTTTGAATTTTAGTACCAAGCGGATTGTACTTTTTTATATGACACAATAAAACAGGTAGTTTTTAGTAAAATCGATATGCATATCGAATAGTGGTTACCGGTAACAAGAGTCCCAGTTGTTCAACCACACGTAATGAGGCTGGTATTAACGTAACGGATAAAAGAAATTCGGTAATTACTTGACCTGCATTTGACTTGATAACTGTTCTTGTGGGTACGACAATTTACGAATGTCGCGTTCATTTTCACGCTTGCAACACCTCAATCTTAAAAAGGTGTACAACACCTCTTGGAACAAGTGAAAAAAAATTAATGATGTGCTGATCATTGTTACTGGCAAAAAATTAACAACTGAAACGTTAAAAAAAAATGTATTGGCATTTTACATGTTTTTGAAAGAACAAATGATAAGTTTTTATTTAGATAAACGGCCACAACTCAACATGTAACATGTTTTTTTTATTGAATTTTCAATTTTAATAATTAGATATGTACTGAAAATATTCTTCTGTACTTCTTCTTTATCCTTGAAATCATTCGTTCAGTCGTAATATATTTAATTTAATTGAATTTAAATCTTTTTTCGGTTAGCGGTCACGCACAATTCATCGCTTTGTAAAGAACAAAAGAGTTCCCACGACTTGTACGATCCTAACTCTCTAATAACGCATTTGATTTCACTCACTCAAGCTCAGAGCTGATTAAAAAGCAGATTACCACTGGCTGTAATAATTGCACATCTATTAAAACTAATCTTAAAAAGAAATATAAGTTTGTCACGTATATAATTTCAAAAACTATTAAATCGATCGAAAATATCTTTCACTATTAGATTGCTACATGATACCTAGGTTATTTAATATTTATATTTAATATATTATTATATTAAATTACAAGAAATCTATATAGTTTATTTTATCTTCAACTTCAATTAGCACTAACACAATAAAGCAAAGATCATAACCAATTATTTTTTTTAAATTGTCACAGATGCAATGTCCGTTAATCATTTGACCCAGTCTTTGTACAAGTGAAAAAGTAGATGTTCGATAAAACCTGCTTGGGCCGGTCCTTTCCCACTTATCATTATCATCTCAAGCCTTTAATTAGGTCACCAGCATTATTTAGCGTGTGATAAAAAGTTGCCAGACGTTAATTTATTGCTAATTTTTTCGATAAAAAGCTAAAATAGTTAAGTTACACCGACCTCAATCTACACTAACGTAAAGAGGACGGATTTGATTTTTTGTTTATTGTATGTATTCCGTAAATATTAAACTGATTGGAACAAAGTCGAACAAACTGCTAGTAAAGTGTTATGCTGAGATTTGAAAAAACAAATTATTGCCTCGTACATTTTTTGTAATTGAAAAAACCTTTAGCTTTAATTTTATTATTAAAATAAGGCATGACCAAAGATATTTTCTTCTAATACAATTTCGATCATAGAATGAATGATTTATTTTTAATTTCAGGTGTGACAAATATATTCTTGCCGTTACTTATATCATGCCAGCATCAGCCAGTTCACCACCCGGGTAGGTACGCATCAAATGTTTTTCTATCTGTATTATAAATTACAGCATCGTATATAGTATTTTAATATATTTATTATTTCCAGTCTCCTTCGTATCGAGAATGGGTGAAGCTCCAACAATGCAAATTCTACCAAGAAACCCGTATTGGTATCATAACTCAATGCTAAGGAAAAGATCGCCTGATAGCATGCAGAGACCATATTACGGACCATCGCAATACAATCAACAGTTAACCTATTACAATAACAATCAGCAATACAATCAAATACCACAAACATACCCACACTATGACACCAGATCGTCAGTAGACCTAATCCATTCAGAAACCAGAGACGGTATTCCAAATGACGGAAGACTACTTTCAGACTCCGCGTTTTCCAGGATATCAGAAACTCTAGGAGCTATCAATACTGTAGGTCATTACCTAGTCGATATCGTGAACGAAAATGAAAGAAATGAATCCAATCCCAATCTACAACAGCTACCTCAAGCTCTCTACACATTAAGCAAAAACGTACTCGGTAGAAATGTTACAGATAAAATAGCACCAATAGTCAAAAAAGCACTACCAAAAGTCCTACCTGATGCACCAATAACCAAAATAGCTACTGGTGACGTGAGTCAGGAAAATGACGCGAAATATTGCACCACACCTGAAGGGGAAGCAGGAGTTTGCGAGGATCTAAGCAATTGTCCACAACTCCTATTGAATTTGATAAACCTACGAGAATCTCTTTGCTTTAAAGATCTATTTGTGCCTGGAGTTTGCTGCCCAAGAGATGCAGTTATCCCATCAATTACGGCTGTAGAAAAACCAGTTGTAGCGACTACTTCAAAACCAACGTATCTGTTACCAGTATCAAGTCAAAAGCCTGTAACGAAGCCTACGACAACTAAGAGGCCTTCTGCTGTCTTAGTACTTACGACTAAGAAACCCAAGCCTCAGACTACACGGCCGCCAACCACAACAGTAGCGGCGGTGACAACGCCGCGTCCGGTCTCCACCACCAGCTTCTACACTGAACTGCCGCCCTCTATCGCCAACTACTCTAATATTGTCGACGCCAGTGGTAAGTACATACTTACGCTGTCATCGCATTTTTTCTTGGAACTAGATAGTACTATCTTAGATAGGAATATCATAATTCCAGTTCATAATAAAAGTACTGAAACTTCTTTCAGAGTGTGGTCAACGAGAAGATGAAGGCGGTCGTATTGTAGGTGGAACGGAGGCGAAGTCCGGCGCGTGGCCGTGGATGGCCGCGATTTACCTGCACGGGAACAAGCGGCGCGAGTTCTGGTGCGGGGGCACACTCGTCGATAAGCGGCACGTCCTCACTGCCGCGCATTGTACCAGGGACTCCAAACAGCGACCGTACGTATTTTGACCAACTTATCGTACATTAACCAATTTTTCCGAAAATGTTAGGGTATACGCCTAAAACCCAACTGTAGAAAAATGTTTAACGTATTTAAAGAGTACAAGAGTTTCACCATTAAGAAACCCATTTCTTCCAGCCAGTATTTTAAACATTACCAGCATGATAAGCTATTACCAGGTTCCCCGCACGGCAATTCAGCGTGCGACTGGGCGACGTGGATCTAGGGCGGGATGACGAACCCTCGCGACCTATTACCCTGCGCGTCACCGCTGTCAGGGCCCATGAGCAGTTCTCCAGGGTCGGCTTCTATAATGATATCGCTATATTGGTACTATCGGGTAAGTGTAATAAGAGTTACAAATGAGTCGAGAAATCATATTATCAGAATATAAAGAAGGTTAATGTTTTAAAGGTCCTTATGAGTAGTTCAGTATTTATTTTATTGTTTGGTATTTTAATAAAAAACATAAACAAATGAATAATAAAAAAACAGAAAAAATGACGACCTAAGGCATTAGACGTCACTTAAATCTTAAAACGATTAGATTAATTTAATAATCAACTTTCAACATTTTCAGAGAACGTTCAAAAATCTAAATACGTGATACCAATCTGCCTGCCACGAGGCGAGGTGGCACGGCAGCAGTTTGACGGCGCTATGGCCACGGTCGTTGGGTGGGGCACCACGCGGTACGGTGGCGCCGAGAGCTCGCGACAGCTGGAGGCCCGCATGCCCGTGTGGCGCAATGAGGACTGCGACCGCGCATACTTCCAGCCTATCACGGATACCTTCCTCTGTGCGGGTTATGCTAGAGGAGGAGTGGATGCTTGTCAGGTCAGATATACCTCGACATTGTGTCGAAAATATAAGGATAATAAAAAGTAATTCAAGAAGTGCGAAAAATCTTTCAAAAGCAAGAAGTGCTTAACAAGAAATTGTTATGATATTTATTTCATTTTTTTCTGTTTCAGGGTGACTCCGGAGGTCCACTGATGTTGCAAGCAAACGGTCGCTGGACGCAGATAGGCGTCGTATCTTTTGGTAATAAATGCGGAGAACCCGGTTATCCTGGAGTCTACACCAGAGTGACGCGTTACTTGTCCTGGTTGCAGCAGAATATAACTTGAAGCTCGTCTTCCATGCCTTTAGTGAGGGCGCTAGTGTGTCATTTTAGTCTGAGATAGATTAATAATATATTTGTATGGAGCTTTACTATCTGCTTAGTATAGCAGCCATAATTTAGTGTTATTATTTACAATGATTTATACCATTTAAAATAACTAATTGTTACCAAATGCTCTTTTATTGATTTATATAGATATAATATACTGGTGAGAATATGTTTGTCCTTTTCTTAAATAATAAACAGTAAATGATGTTTCAATATAAATTATTATAGTTTTTTTCACTAAATTAATCCATTAAGATTAGAAAACTATTTACCTATGCTTTTATTTATATAAATTAAATAGACTAATCTTGTTATATCTAATTATGTAAATATATTTTAAGTACTATTTCGTCTTTTATTTCCTCATTATAAATCACAATTTATCTTTATTTCGCATCACTTTTGCGTGCAGTTTTCATCAGTTGAAGCAGCTAGCCGCACAGTGCGTAGAAAACCTAAAAGAGTTCATGTATTGCCAGCTAAAACATCTTCCGAAGGGACTATAAGTGTTCTAATAGCTTGTTCGTTTTTGTGATTAAACGTGCCGCATATAACTATAATTAATAATTACATTTTTTCACTGTTTTGTGATTGTTTACATAATAATAAATTTCAAAATTCGGAGACTGTAATAATCTGAAATTGACATGTCTTATAATTTCATAATCAGTGACTTGTCAGTGGCAAACATCAAAGTCAAGATGACAATTGACATTTTAAAGTTGTAATTTTAATGTCAAATATTTATATTTAGGAAATTCATCATAAACTTCTTTAAAATAATTGTTCTATTCCATTTAAATTTAGATTTTAAGAATAGAATAATATAAAAGCACTGGCTTAGTCTCGTGCGGCCATATGAACTTGATATATAAGTGCGTTAAATAATCATGATGAAACACTCCACATCTCCTACTCCAAACTACCCGAGGAGTACATCACCGCTACCAGCCCCAGCTAATTACCAACCAACAACAGCTAGTGCTGCAGTAAAGCGGTACAAATACTTACGAAGACTTTACAAATTCGATCAGATGGATTTTGAATTTGCTGCATGGCAAATGGTTTATTTATTTGTTTCACCACAAAAAGTATTTAGGAGTTTTAACTATAGAAAACGTAAGTAACACCAACAACTTACTATTCCACTTTAAAAATGAACAACCCCTTGTAAATAATTGTAATCTTACCAATAATATAAATGCAATGTTTGGATGGATAGATTTTTGTTTGAAGCTATCTCCGGAGAAGCTGAATGAATCCCGCTAAAATCTGGTATAAATGTAGAATATAGTCTGGAAGAACACATAGGCTACTATTTTTGGTCTCGAATAAACAGTCACTGGCGACAGTTAGTATTAGAATTCTAAAAAGGCTTTAAAATTGTTGACTTATTTGCATGATAAATATTTTACTTTGCTTTAAACATATATTTTGTCATAATTTTTCAGATACAAAATCACAGTTTGCTCGAGATGATCCAGCATTTCTAGTACTGCTCTGTGTGTGGTTGTTTTGTAAGTTATTTTCTTTCACCTTTAAAAACATGTATCATAAAAACAGCAGAAAAAGTTAACTTACCTTACTAAAATAATTGTTGATTCCGAACACTTGACACAATATCACTAGGAAACATTGCAATTACTGAAGGTAGCTTTGCTGTAATTTTTACTATACATTTATTATATTTAATTTATCTTCCAGTATCATCAATATGTTTTGCGCTGGCAATTGGTCTAAACTGGGGACAACTGGTGTTGTTTGTCCTGTTTGTTGTTTTTGTTGACTTCATTGGAGCTGGTATATTTGTATCCACTGTATTTTGGTAAGTTTACTTGTGTTTTCAATTTGATATATAAATAGTTAGTTTTATATAAATAGTAATAAAATCATAGTTCTCTGAAGAGTAAAAGTATTGTTTTCACTGCTGGAACACTGTACAAAAACATGTGCTGTAAAAAAACGTATGTCGGAGTCGCTTGCGGCAACTAATAGATTCCTAAATTGGAAAATTGAAGTGAAAAAAAGCTTGTGTAGTGATAAATTCTATAAGTGTTGTATTTGTAATACAAAATAAATTTTAATAAATTGACTCTTTATTAAATGTCAAACAAAAATAAATAAATGTAAAACAATCCATAGATTTTATGTCTATGACTCTACATTATTGTATGAGTATTGCAGCAACAAATCGAAAAAGAAGTAGAATTATATTCCAATTTTACTGATATTATTTCAGGTATTTAATAAACAAATATCTGCGACGTGATCCAGTCGCATCCGAAGTGGAGTGGGGCTATACATTTGATGTTCATATCAATGCCTTCTTCCCACCACTCTCCCTGTTGCATTGTTTCCAGATCATTCTATTTAATGGTAAGATTTGTTCTATACCAGATATGAATCATAACCCTGAACTATAAAGATAAATTCTTAAATACCAAAAGATTTCTATTAAAACACTTTTGCTAACATAACTATGTAACAGTAACTATACTTTTAATATCACTTTATCTAACACTTTTCACAAAATAACATAAGATTCAAATATAAATATGGCTGCCATGTATATAATTTAACATGCCTTTGTTAACTTTACTTACTGCGGGCTTCTGAGACCAAAATTACACTTAGTTAAACTTTCACTCGAAACAAAGGAATAATATCATTATAAAATGACTTTCTTTACTAAAAATATTCTTTAAAAATCTCCAATTTGTGGTAATTATTGCTTTATCCGTTTTCAGATGTGCTGCAGGGTCACGGGTTTGTGCCATGTCTAGTGGCGAATACTTTTTGGCTGGCGTCAGTCATTTATTATTTGTACATCACATTTTTAGGTTATAGCAGTAAGTATTTTTTTATAATTTCTTCGAACTTTTATACTTTTAAATTTATTCAGTGCATTAGTAACTGGCTGAAAATAAAAACAATCATCTTGACAATGTGACCAGATGTTTACATAATTTTTTTTTTCAGATTTACCAATGCTGCAAAATGCAAGAGTATTTTTATTACCACTGCCCATACTAGTTGTTGTATATCTCGGTACATTAATGGCGAAATGGAATCTCAGTCAAATGTTAATGGATTTCTATCATTATAGATTATTCTAATACATTTTTTTTTCATTTCAAAAGTCATGTTTAATCTTTGATATTTGGGATATCGATTAAAAAAATAATAAGTTGACATGAAAGATGTGAATTGGGAATTGTTACATTTTAGCATAAGACTGTGTATTTTAATAAGTTTATTATAAAAGTAGATTATAAAAATAAAATTAGTTAATGTAAATATATTTTGCGCATGTTTTTCTTACTTGTATTTTACTGCGATCAAACAGTGCCAGTGTCTAACATGTATTTATTTTTAATTTTTTTCTTTGTCTTAAATTCTAATCAGCCAATTACAGTTTATTCCTATTATTTTGGAAATGTTAACTATAATATTGACTAAAATATTAAGCAATATATTTATTTTAAAGTTGAAATAAATAATTTCTATTCAATTGCCGGATTATTATTTTTTCTCGCAGCCTATATTTATCTACAAATAATGTTTCACAAGAGTTTTAGTAGGCTTTGAATTTTGGCTAAAAGATGTTATTAAATAAAATGAATTTAAATAATATTGGAATTTATTTAAATAACTAGTTTGCGTATAATTATATTATTTTCTTATTTCAATCATCATCTAAAACAATAACTTCATCGGACGATATTGGTTTGGGTCTCTCTTCTCCAAACGCTAAGCTTTTCTTCGCCTCTGGTTTTTTTGTTTGTGGCATAGAATTTTTCAATGAAAAAGTCTTCGTTATAGTCAGCGATGAAGGCAGTCTACTTATAGAAGCGTTTATTTCTTGAGACACATTCTTCGATGCTGGCAAGTGTTTCTTACGTTCTGCCAATTTTTCCTGCAACGTTTTACCCGGGCTAACTTGCTGATGGGTCAGTGGGGCTTTGGGAGCTGACGAACTGGACGCGTGTGCTTGCGTTAGCTGTGAACTGTGCCCGGTAGAATGTGCGGACGTGTGAGGAACGCCGAACCCTGTTAAGTTGGCGGATAACGAGGGCGGTAAAGTCGGAAGAACCGTTCCCATACTGGGCGCTAAGGGTCCAGATACAGACTTCTGCAAACTCGTTATAACTGATGTCGGAGCCGATTTAGCTGAAGGCGGTAATGACGACGAAGTATATGACTTGGACTTTATAGGTGCAGTGACACTCGATATGGATCTAGTAGAGCCGGGTTTCGGGCCACGTTTTTGCTTCTTTGGCGGAGGTAGATTGAAGCCAGAATAATTTCCAAAATATTGACGATAGAATTCGGACTGGAAGGAATTTTGCATGGAAGATTGAAGGGACGATTGAAGAGAATTTTGCAAGCTCGTGTAACCGGCTAAAGCGCTTATTTTACTGAAATATGACAGAGATAAAGCGGCAGCCGTCTGTTGCGTAAGTAGCTGATCATTTATCATTGGGTAATTTCGGAAAGCCGCTGCGATATCGTGAGACGAAATTTTCGGTAGGCCGGAAGAGCTAACTGGCGGTTGGCTGGGCTGTTTGTCGGGCTTCGTTTGACTGACCGGCACCGGAGGAAGAGCTGGAGTTGTCTTAATAACTTCTACAGGTTTAGGGACCGGTTTCTTTTGCTGACTCTGACTCTTATCTAAACTTGCCATTGTCGCTTGTTGTTTCAATGTTTGTATATGAGACTGACACAACTTCATGCTGAGATCGACTAAGTTAGCATTTTCAGGAATAGGTGTAGGTGCGATTAATTTATATGCGTCTATTAACAGATTTGTAAACTGTTTAGAGTTAGGTTGCTTTTGAACTCTTTGATACGCGCGGTATATGTCGAGCATTAAGCTCTTTAAAGTTTGGCGTTCAACTTCATTACTCTTCAAGTCCGCCTGTTGACTGAATTTCAGCAACTGCCCTTTCAATGATTGTACACAAAGGGAGAATGCTTGCTGTGCTAACTCCTCTCTATCCGAGTCTCTTAAATACTTCTTATCGAGATCTGGTATCCTTTGTAAATGTAAATTTAAATCAAGTAAGGTTTTGTGATCGTCGATCTCTTTCAATATTTCCATGGTGAGCATCACGGAGCGGTTCATATGAAAGGCAAAGCTGCCCGCCCGCTCCACTTCGGCCGAAGGTATCTTCCAAATGTTATTAAAGAAATTCGATTGTTTTCTTTCACTAAAGAGTCCGCCGAGTTTTTGGCCGCACCTCATTGTAAAGTTCGATAGCATAAGATCTCTGCATCTTTCAATATCTTTCCCTTTTTTGTAGTAAAAATGATAATGAGCCAATCGATAGATAGCTTTGTAATGTGGTGGAAATCGACTGGCGCAATCTTCGAGAGCGTCTAAACAAGCTATGACTATCTTCATAATTTCCTCGTCCGTCAACTGTTTAGTATCGTTAGATGACTTGGTGGACGTGGTGCTGTCTCTGCTGGAATCGCTGCTGCTGTCCGTTGAGGACTCGCTCGAGCTCGAGTCGGACGATGAACTCGACGATGAACTACTAGAACTCTCCTCTTTCTTATTTTGTGTTTCTTCTTTATTTTCACTATTGGACTTCTCGTCTCCCTTCTTTTCTTTCGATTCTTTCTCATCCTTTTCTACCACTGTTCTTGTATCGTTCGTGGTCTTTGATTCCTTTTCTGTTTTCTCTGATATTTTTTCATCATTTTCTTTTACCGTGGCCATGTTTTGCTCTGCGTTCTGGTCTATATCCATTGGCTTGGTTGTTTTTTCCACTGAATCATTTAACGAATCTTTTTGTGAATTGTGTGCGACTCTTTCGGTATCATAGGAGGCAGATCTACGCACTTTAGCTGCCGCCGCTTCCAATTTCATTGTTTTAGCTTCATGAGTATCTTCTTCACCTGCGTCGCTCACAGACCTTTTTAATATATTAGCGGCGTGCACAATTTCCTGAGATTTTCCATCACCGTCATCTCCTGGTGAATCTTTTTTAGACTTTTTACTAAATGGTCCATTTTGCCATTCATCGATACACATTAGGAATACTTTGCCGACGGATGCTGGAATAGGTTTATTTTCATGTTGCTCGATAAATTTTAAAATCGAAGCGTGTATGCGGTAGTGAAGTTCTAATACTTCTATACACAAATTTGTTGGTGTACTGTAATTAATCTTTAACGGATAAGTGGCGTCAGTTTCGTGTAAACTTCTGACTCCCTGCATGTAAAAACTTAAATATACTGATGGTGCTTTATTTCGCTTTTCCGCTACTTTTCCCAACATGTAGTACAACAGCCAAAAATTCTCATTTGTTTTATCAAAGTCGTTATTAAGGATATTTAAAACAGTGCTATAACATGTGTAAGTGCTGTCCAACATATCCTCCTTTTGTCTCTCTAACGATTCAAAATCTTCCATACTTAATGATTCACTAGCTTGCTTCAAGAGTCTAGAACAGAAGGAATGAACCGTGTACACGAAATTTCCATATTCTAGCCACAATTCACTATGTGTCGGATCTAAAGCTAAGGAACGCTTGAAGCACTGTATCGTTGATTTTGCTTGATTAAGAAATTCCGTTTCGTTGTTCAAGTTTTTACAAGAATTTAAGACTCTCTCTAAATGTACGGCTTTCGCTAGCGATATCTCCGCCCAAGATTCCAACCTATCATTATTTAAGATAACGTCCAACATATTGAATTTTATTGCCATTTTGCAGTCCTCTTTTTTGAAATAGTAATCACCCAGCAAAAAATATATGTCTTTCATTTTATAGGGCAATAGAGGTGGCACCGTTGGTAATTTATTTTCAACACCTTTGATATATTTTTCTAAGTCGGGTAAATATTTGTTCGGGTCACATTCTGTGGGCAGCAGGGCAAGAATACGATGAAACAACTGTTCAACATCACTCGTAATGCCCGAAACTTTGCCTTCCAAAGCGGGGAGAATCTGAGGTCTAAATACTTCGTACAACTGCTGCGCTCGTTTCCAGTCCAATGAATGAGGTTTAACATTATGTTCTTTCAATGGTGAATTTTTCGATTTAGTCTTCTTACCAGGATGTCCAAACAAACAAAACACACACTGCTCCATATATTGACAAACTTGTTCTATAGATTTCGCCAACGATGGAGATCGGAGACGCGGCACAACTGTATCTAAAATAAAATACAAAAGTTTGGCGTCAGAATGGCAACACCAACTTCTATTTCCTAGTTGCTCATGACCAATAAACAATATCATAAGTGGATTGGGTACTTCATCACATGCTACTCGGTCGTTGTCTGAGATTGTGCGTCCTCTGCCTTGGTCTTCTTCTCGTTGTAAAATATAATGCATTATGATCCAAGGGGCGACAGTACCAAAGGGCATTTCTGTGGCATTTGTTTCCACTTGATGACCAATAATCCTAATGAGATTCTCTAACGCTTGGCTTAGATCTTTTTGCGAAACAGATTCCAAACAGTTAAGGCCTTCTTTAGTTAAAATATGTTCCATACAGGAAAGTACTTTTACAACAGTCATTGTCCACTTCTCGTAATCTTTGGAGCCAGATGTAAACCGAAAATAATGTTTCAATGCTTCATGTAGACATGTCAAGGACCATTTGAAGCAAGTTTCCACTTTGTCTAGAGCCCAACATGTGTCTAAAATAATTGACAATTGAACTGCAAAATCTAAAGACATTTCTTCTTCTTGTGTTTTTGCCATATCCTTGCAATGTTCAAATGAGTCTATTACGATTGAAAGTACTTCTTCATATTGACCTTTATCATATAATTCTAGGACTGTAGACAGCTTTTTGTTTCTTTCTAAAAACTTAATGTACTCTGTAATTTCAGTTACTGATATAAGAGGTTTGAAAGTGAAATTAGTATTATTCAAACTGTACTTATCATGATGCTCTCCCATGGCTTCAAATTCACACAGCAAATGATAGAGGCTGTCAAGTGCAAACTCTTCACATTTATTAAGTAAGTGAACATGGATTTTGACCCAGAGTTGTCTTATAATGTTTTCTAAACAAACGGTGCTTTGAAAAAGGTGCGGTTTTAAAGCCAGTATTAAACCTATAGATTCTATAACACCGAGTTCATGTCCATTTTTTTCATTACCATTTTGATTAAGCTTGATATTGACTGTTATTTCTTCTGCTAAGATATTAATAGCAGTGTAACTTAATAAATCATCCTTATTATCATCAAGGCATGCTGGTACATCTATGTGAGTGTTATAACAATTATTAGCTTCAACAAATGTACTTGTTAAATCTTCAGGCCATTTCACATTCCACTTTGCAGCTAAAAATGACAGGTAATCCTTTAATATATCTATTATATCTCTTGTACTTTCTTTATATTTATTTATAAACTCTTTAACATCTACCTGCTCATTGTCACTACCAAAATATTCATCTTCATTTTTAAAATCTGATTTCTCTTTTTCATCAAATAACATATTAAGATTTGTTAGATCTGCTGAGGTGTCTTTATCTTCGTTTTCTTTTTCTTGTATTGTTTCTGGTGATAAAGCTATTGGAACCATTCTTCTTAGTGTATCATAAATATTGTCATCATATCTGTCTTGTTTGTTGACTGGCTTTTTACGTCCAGAACGTCTTTTGTTACACCACTCCCACTGTTCTAAGAAACTGAGAGCACTGCCTCTACGACGGACCGCTGTTTTCTTTTGAACTTTAGGCTCAGGTGCAGTCTCAGCCGCGGATTCTGAAGCAACTAATTCTACATCACTTTCAACTTTCTCTGTATCCGTAATTTGTTTATCAGATAATTCATTATTTTCATTTTCAGATACATTCTCTACATTCTTTTCATTATCTGTATTTATATCATCATTTTTATTATCTGTTGAATCAATTTCTTTCTCCTCTATCTCACAGATATCCATTTTCTCTTGAATTTCAGCTTTTTCGAAAATAAGTGCTATGTAACAGGCATGACTGAAATAATTCTCCGTCATGTACTTATGCATATGTACCAATGATTCACCAATGGCATTCCATGTCAGAGAAGTAATAGGTTTTTTTAATTTTAAATTAGGTAGGACACATTTAAATTGGTCCGCATTTTGTTGTTCTACAAAAGTTTTATGTATTTCATTAGCTTCTTCTATAAGTCTAGTACCAATTTCATTATCAATATGTTCATCATCATCTTCATTCCATTTGTATATTGGATTCAAGTACTCCATGTAATTTCTAATATATGGAAACTCTTTATAAATATATTTACGGTATACCAAGCCCCTTAAATAGTCCGGATCAAGCTGAAGGGCATCATAAATTACAATGATACATTCATCCTTATAGTCTAGTCCTAATAGCAGTGTTATAATTTTATCTATACATGGCCAATGGCTAGGATTTCGCTGGACTCCACGCTGGAATGCATGAAGAGCGGTTTCATATCTTTTTGCACATATACATAGTAATCCAAAGCGATGCCACAGTGTAACATCCGTATCATCGAGCTCCGAAGCAGCAATATACGATTCTATGGCCGCTTCCAAATCATCAGCCGCACTCTGCATTGCAGCTAAGTTTTTGTAACATAAATATTTTAAATTAAACAATGGACTGGATGCTTTCTCGCCAGGAGCCGGTTTTTTAACATTATACAATAGCTCGGTGTCCAGTAGATCTTTTAAAAGCTGTGTAGCATCAGGAAGATTGCCCTTTCGTTGCAGATCGAGAGCTTTAGCATATTGTTGTAAGGCGATTTGTTCGAGAGCTTCTCTGGTTACCTCCTCTTCAGAACCACTTTCCTCGTCAGATTCATCATTTAATGCTGATATTTTAATCATAATTATATAAATACGAGCACTAATTATTTTTATAAACAAAACCCCGGATATCTGTCACCTTTGACTTTTGTATATTTTTAAAACAATGGTTAAATTACAGTTACAAAACAAAGTCGGTCAGCCACATTCCACAAAATTTACTTTTTGTCTTAAATTAAATCGTAACTTTTACTGATGATGGTTATTAAAATATGCTGTTATTTTAAAAAAACATTTCATACAATTAAGAATTGAAACCACTAATCTCTATATTGAGGTCAGTGAGTAAAACTTGTAGTAAAACGTACACAATACTTTTACTCTTTGGATTATACTCTTCAAACTTTGCTTTGCTCTTTGGTAAACTTCAAAAAAGTGAGGTTATTAATAATTTTTATCTTTAAAAACCAACACAAACATTACAAATATAAAATTAAAATGATATCTCACAATTCAATCTTAAAACGAACATTACCAATGTTAATGCAATGTGCAGAAGCACACAGAAAACCTCGATGGCTACCGGTGGCAAAAAGTAAAATATTTCGTATACCAAAACGTCCAGTTATCTCTGAAGAAGAACGAATAGAGCTTTTGAGGATAAACAATAATTATAAGACACAAATGCGCGCAATAAAGCGTTTTTATCATGAAGAAATGATAAAAGAAAAATCTACTCTTGAAAGTGCAAGTTCTGAAATGTCTCAACAACTTGAGGCCGAGGAATGGGAGCGCTGTGTAAAAATTAATGATACATGGAACGCTCAGATCGCTGCTGAACGGGAAGAGAGAAGGAAAAAGGAATTACAAGAAATGGAGGAGTTCGCTCTAGCCAGGATGGAGGCTAAAGACAAAGAGTTAAGACATAGGATTGCAAAGGCGTCAGAAGAAATTAGAGAGCAGAAGGTAAGATTGGGAAAGAAAAATATTTTTCGTTTTAAAGATAACAAAAAAAAACATTTTACAGCTTTAAGATTGCTGCTAAAGTTGTAGCTCTCAAATAATACAACACTAAAGCTGTGTAGATATAGAATATTCTTTATTCTAAACATTTATGTAGTCCTCTTTTCTATTGAATATTAAAAACAGCTAACTGGTTTTATTGTTGTGTAAATTGATGTCTATAAGTCTAATTTTTGTTTACAGAAACTCAGCAGTACATTTATAACTCCAGAGAACTTGGAGGAGGCAATTGATAAGGCACTGGCCAACCCTGTTGACTACAACTTTGCTATTGACCTACAAGGGCAGCAGTATCTTGGCAGGGATACACCAATACCCACTAAAGAACAGAAGAAAGCTGCAAGCAACAATTGAATTTTACAACTTTTATAATAGTTAAGTCTTAGTAATATATTACATAAAAAAATATTTGGTTTCAAATATTTCACTGTCCGAACCCACTTCATGATTGGATGTCTAAATCTTTAAAACACATACTTGATCAAAAAGATGGAGGGAAAGAAGGCAGAATATCTTACTAATATTATGAATGCAAATGTTAAGATGGATGAATGGATGTTTGTTAGACAGATGAAATTTGGCACAGTCAAGAGCAGTCGGTTTAGAGCATAGTCTCAAAAAACACATAGGCTACTTATAAAGTTTTTTCTTCCACAAGGATGGGGCAGTCCCTGGAGATTATTATTTTTTATAACATAAGGAGGCAAACGAGCAAGCGACTGTTGCCCATAGACATATGGAATTGCATATGCGTTGCCTACCTTTAAACAACGGAGGAGAGGATGCACAGAAAGAAAATATTTACCCTTCCCATGCATCCTCTCATCCGGAAAGTCCACTTCCACTTCCCATCCTATCGTTATAAGAAAAAGGGTGGGAAGGGAAAGAGGTCTAAATTAGGCCTCCGGGACACACACTCATCAGACTGTACGCGGAATTGCTCCCACTTGACGCCTGTCTTCTGTGTGGTCGTGGTATTTCACCGGGCGAGCCGGGCCAATTCGTGCGAAGATGTTAAAGCGGGCTCTACCACTGTTAAAGTTACGTATAATTAGACAGAATATGAGTAAAAAGACAAAATTTAGTTAAATAATCTTCACGTTCAATAACATTTTATTAATACACCAACTGTCATAACATGCCTTAAATTATTTTTTAACTCAGTTTTTACAAAGGAATATAAGAAGGATGGTAATGCAGGTGTTCAACAGTTTTACAGTTACATACAGCCTACAAAGCCATATCAGTAAACATAGTCTGCCAGTCAGGCAGTATAGTTAGCTTGTGCTGTAGTGGGCCAAGTGAGACTAGTCTTGCTGATCGTGCTGCATCCTCCACACTGACTGAGACTGCCTCCTGGTGGAACGCTGCCTTGGTGCCTGGACATACCTGGACAACATGAATTGATGAAATAAATGGCTGAATGAATCTAGCTGAAATTTGGCCTAGATTTAGAATATAGTCTGGAAGTAAATATAGGATACTTATTAAGTTTTTTTATTAATTCCGCGCGGACGGAGTAGCGGGCGACAGCTAGTATAATGTAAACACTGGAAAAATAATTTTTAAACTTACTTCAGTTTGTCTATAATAATGGCCAGGTTACCTTGGATACAAGGAAGACGTGGCGTAGTTCGACATTCGCAAGAAACAAAATTATAAATTCAAATAAACAACAGGTCTATAGTTACCTCAAAGACAGTGTCACCCAGTAGAAGAGTGACTCGTCCGGAGCGGCGAACCTGAAGCCTGCCCACGCGACCCTCCTGCAATCCAGACAACACGCAGCTCTCCTCGCCGCCCTCACTGGGCTATAGTAAATTAAACATACACAATGTAGAATACTTTACACTCCGTCAATGTCCTTGGAAACTAAATCGCCATATAAATGATAAAAACTCAATCTCTTTGTCTTAGTTGTAGCAGTACATAGCATGCATTTAGTTAGATAATTGAATGGAGTGATGTTAATACTTACTGGAACGCATTTACTTACATCATCCTGTGTTTCCTTATTGCTTTTGCCACGGGAATCCTCATTCGCGTCTCCTCCACCACTCCGTCCCGGCAGAGAAGTTGGCAACTGTCACAAATATATATTCTTTGAGGTTTTATATGGGGAAAGATGATTTAAAGTGTTCTTGAGAGCAAATAAACCAACTAATATCTAAGCATTAAAAGTGTTACCTGTAATAAAATAAGTGTTGGCTTATCACTCTTTAATAAGTTTGTGATATTTGTGTCTTCAAACTCTGCTGGGATTATGGGTTTCTTGTCGACTTCTGGCACTGTGGAATCAGATCCAATTATGACATATCTAAAGCATCGATGGCTCAGAGGTTAAGCACTTGACTTGTCATATACAGATCTTGGGTTCGAATCCCGAATACAAATGTCTTTACGAGATGGAAACATTGTAATGCAACCTGCACATATCTGTGAAGAAATTCAAAGTCCATGAAGTCAACCCTTACTGGTTCAGAGTGGTTGACTCTGGTCTAGTCACCCCTAACTTTAGATAGGCTCCGAGCCACACAAAACTATAAGTACTATAACATACATTTTGCACAGATCAATAAAACAAAAAAAAATAATACAGACCCAAAAAGCTATTGACATCCACAAAAATATATTTAAAATCTTACTTGGACAATCAGCATATTCAGTAGGTTCCGTTTTCACAACCACTTCCTGTTTGATTTTAACCGTTGGTTTTGGCTGACTGTATAACCAACCTAGAACCACAAAAAAGTATAATATTTTATTAATTTTTCATATAATTACTAAGTAACAGATCTATTGTTGACATACCATCATCTATGGGCAGTTTGATTGGAGCATCAGTTTCAAATGATTGCTTAAAGTCTTCAACTTCCTCATCCAGGCCATCATCACCACCGACTACAGACTTGATCTTCTGTTCTTCTAGTTCTTTATCAATCTAAAAGTAATTATATATAGTTAATCAATAAAAATGCAACATAAATGTAACATCACAACATCCATAAAAATTTCATTTTACGATAAAAAACATATGTAATTTTTTTTATTCATATAATGTATTGCTTGCTAGACAAATATAAACAATATTCACAATTAACACCAGAGTCTTAGAGAGGTGGATAGAGATTGATATACAAATTAATGCTTTTTTGTCTGATACATACTTTAATTACATCTTTTACTCTTATGGTTGGTCTTTGCAGAGCAGGGGCTCCTTCCCCATCTCTGGCATAAGACGGCCCTCTGTAATGACTTCTCTCTACAGCTCCTAAACCTAAAAACCAGAAATATTATATGTTGTAAAGCAAAATTGAGGTTCAACTCAAATAATTATATGTCAGGATAGCAGTTTTTTTATATATCTTTTATAATAACAGCACAAAAAATCTTGCAGTGGATATTATTGCTAAGTTTTTTTTTTAATAATTAGAGTAGAGCTTTATCATAGTTACTTGGTGATGGTATGGTGTAAATATGTCAGTTTTAGTGGTCAGCACAGAATCCACCATCTTTCTTTTAAATTGACAAATATATCTAAATTACTGAATGTACCAGAACAATTTACATTGATGATGATGACATTCAATTAAATTTAATTTTATGAAATGAGGCTCATAGACTTCCAAGCATTCGATTACTTTAAAAGTTATTATAATTGTTTTTACCTTCAGAAAATACACCAGCAGATTTTATAATTGAAGGATCTTTTCTTTTGTTTTTATTATTTACCCTATCCCTCTTGTCCTTGTCATTTTTCTTGTGCTCGCGGCTGTTTGCTAATGGGACTCTATAAAGGTTATATCAATTAAGATAATAATCAGAACAGATATTTTATAAATTAAAGTACATAGCTAAGAGTCGCCCATCCTCTAATTTATAAATTAAATAGTAACATACCCTTTGTTTCTACTTCTTGTTACATTTAAATTTGGAGTAAAAACTTTTTTATTTGGTTTTACACCTCCCAGGGAAAGATCACGCGGTGGTTTGAACGATGCTAGTCTTTGTAATGGATCAGAACCTAAGCCATTTGTGGATTTATCTTGCGAATTCGACATGGTATTAACTATTTGTTATTTTCATTGAAACAAAATGCTGCAATAAAACGTAATTTTTGATTAGGTTAGCTTTATCAGCTGTTAGAGAAGCAAATCACAACAAAATATAAACATTATAAACATCATCTTGTCAAAAATATGTCAAAGTTCAAATGTCAGTCATCATAGATTGTATTTCATGTCACCAAGTTCAGGAAGAAATTATTATCTATGAAATCCACTAGAAGCCATGAAAAGTTTCTTACTAAACATAAATAGGTTATTTCACTAAAACTTAATTAATTTCAAGGAAACATTTATTTTTTAAAACAGAAAGTTTTTAAAGAAAAAATAACAACAGGGTTTGTTATCAAAGAGTATATAAAATAGAAATGTAGAAAGAGCAAAGAGTATATAAATTAGAAAGAGGGCCAAGTCCAAAGAGTATATAAAATACACATAGGTATTAAAGATAACATCAAACTAAACAATCAAGTGAATATTAATGAGGTTTAAATTTTGGATCAATTTAAATTCAACATTTCAGACAAAACAAGACTGTAACTTTGCATGATTATTTTCGGTTATTTTTATGGAATTTTGAATTAAAACAATGAAAAGAATTGGTAAAACTTTTAATTTAAACGATCATACAATAAAAAATAATTCTAGTTGTAATACTTCGGATCGTCATAATTTATGTTAAGCTCCTTACTGTCACGCCGAGATACAAATTCCCAAGGACAAATTTCATTTAAAATTACGTGGAAATCTGAAAGAAAATCTCCGTTAAATATGTAAAAGCTTTTACAAGAAAACACTGCAATATCACTTGCAGCTTATAGTGATGCTTGAGTGGTCATATTATGACCATTTCAAGTTTGTTAAAGAAATATTAGGATGAGTCCTACCTGTATTGAATCTACAATTGTGCTTTTTAGCATCACAATCATTTTTAAAGGTTACTACATTGCCGGATTTATAATTGCACGCACAAACTGGTGTAGAAGTTTCTTGCCGGGAACACTGTAGCTGAGAACATGCAAATGCCTTTTGACTGTCAATATTCTTTAACAATTCGTCGTCCACGTCTATTGGAAGCGGTGATAACATTCCCAAGCCTATTCTAAAAGATAATTCGGGGTCTTGTTCAGCTGCTAACGATTTTGGACGTAAATTATCTGTGGCCAGTATCCTTTCTTTTAAAGACTCTATTTGTTCTATGGTGTCATCACTCGGTCGAATCTTCTGGGATCTAAGTGCCGTAGCTTCTTTGAATATTAATATGAATACTGGAACAATATTCATGTAAATATAATTAAATAGTATAGACCTCTACTACGTTAAATAATCTTTACTTAATCTACGTCATCTTCTCTCATAAGGATGTCAAAGACAACGAAGAACCTATAAATTAATTTATTTTATACAATAACGGTTTTTGACTCGAAAAAATAAAAGAGTGTAAAAGTAAAAAAGCATCAAAATGGCAAAAAAAACTTACCATACACATATAAGTAAATCGCTTTATTATTGGCCATTTTACAATATCATTTTTTGAAAAAAAAAACGCACACGACATAAAATGTATAACACATTCAAATCAATGGTTTACTTTATAAATACATGCCAGCATCGGATACGGATGTTAAGATTGTAATTTGATTGATTTTTTACGCCGCTCCACTTTGACATGATTTATTGCATGTGTTTTTTTATAAACATTGCTTACCACAAACAAATATCTAGTTAGGATATGGTTCTATGATTTATCACGAATAAAACGGACAAGTTTTATTGGTAATTGGTCATCCCACTGATTTCTGTGTAAAAAAGATAGAGATAAGAATTTTTTCCCTAGTGGAAGCCTACCGTTATTATTAACAGAAGCGTATTCCATTTGCTATTTAGTTTTCAATAAATTTCCTTAACATATTAGTTGAATTTATTTTTGATTCGTCGTAACATCGGTGCCCATTCAAGCCAATAGCAGGCCAATGTCATAGCCAATAAGTAAATAAAGTTTTTTCCATATCGAAGATCTTTTGTTGTTTTTTGCACTGGAATTAGGTTACGACACTGACATACATGTTTTGTTAAAAAACTTAACGTCAAGGCATAAAAAGTTTTTTTTAACTTTTTTTAATAAATTATAATGATTGTTACTGGCAGGATCCAGATACGGTTTTCGAATTAAAAAAAAAAAAAATTACGATTCAAACGCTACTCAAACGAATAATAAATTAACTCATGTTTTAAATATATAATTAGCTAGCCGTAATGTTTCATTCGTATTGTACTTTAAGAAACTACAAATATCTACCTAAACGTCTTTAATTAAAGAATAAATCACAATGCCCTTCAAATCTAAAAGATGTATCCGTCCATCTTTTTTTTAAAGGTTAGAATTAGTTTCACTTAATAACCTACTAATCTATACTATTATAAAGACGAAATATTTGTTTGTTTGTTTGCATCGAAACGACTGAATCGATTTAAAAAAATCACTATACGAAGGTTACACTATCCCCGGATGACATAGATTATTTTTATTACTACATTTTTTTTCTTATTGACGAGCAACCGCTTGTTTATTTTTTAATTTATTGGATATATTTGTATGAATGCACACAATATAAGGCGCAGGTGGCGCATTGGTATTTGTATCACACGTTTTTAGGGAATAGAGATCTTGAACCAGCAACTCTTCTTTCGGTTTTCTTTTAAAACTTATTGACGGCTGTTTAAATCTTTGATTTCATATTTTCTTTTCATATTTTACCGCAATATCGCGATAATTTTTATATTCCTTGACAAATTGTCAATCTATATTGTAAAAAAATATACCGTGACAAATATAATTAGAAATTACTATGGACCTAGAAATTTAAACAGATATTAAGCAAGGAATACGAAAAAGTGAAACTCAAGGCGATAGTCTAGTGAGTTTACTATTATGTCCTAAAATAACATTAGTTGAAAACCTATTGAGAAGCAAGCATTGATATTATAATTTTTAATAGAATATGTCACAACAAAGCTGAAGTCTATTGTTGTGAGTCAAATTATAATAAAGATATTTTGATATTTGTAAGTTCATTCACTACGGACCTAAAAATAATTATTAATCGCAGTGGAATTGTGACTTTTTGTTGACGATTTCGTAATTTGAAATTAACTTTGTAACGGTCGTTTGTCGATGACTGTTCGGAAAGCGGAAGGTCATTTGATATTTTTTTTTGTTTATTTTATAATTGTTATACGATAAATTAAGTTATTATAAACTGCAATTATCGATTTCTTTTTTATGACAAAATTTTATTCAACACCAACTTACAGTTATACATACGCAGTTTTAGGGTTATTTTAGGCTAGTAATAAAAAGTTTGATGAAAGAAAATAATGTTTTTTTAGTTGAAAAAAGGTTATTTTTTGACCACAAAGCACAAATTCGTCTTGCTTTATCTTCTATTCGTTAGCATTATGAAAGTTATTAAATTTCTATGTCTCTATACACTGTGACTTTTGAAAAAAATAAAGAAAAACATTTTATACTTAATTCGTATATTTATCGACTGTAAAAAACCAGCATTCGTATATCAAACATAACAAAATTATCAATTGAAATAAATAGTTAACAGATATTTACAAATATTAGAGGTAGATCGTTCATTCCTTGTCGTCGTCGTCATCTCCATTGTCACTGTACGCGTATTCCTTCTCTTCGGCGGTGCCGCCTTTCTTACCATAGTCCTCGCCATGCTCGTAATGGCTCTCATCACCTTCCTCAGCAGAGTGACCCTCATGATCGTCATCAACATGACCCTTAGCATAATATCCACCTTTTCCAAAATCACCCTTGTTGTAGCCAGATTCACCTTGTCCGCCCTTCTTGTGACCGCTCGCCTCGGACCCGTGATGTTTGTTCTCGTAGCCGTGTTTCTTGAAGTGTCCGCTCTTGTCTGCTACGTCGTAGAAGTCGTGGTCCTTCTTGAACTCATCCTTGTTGAACACTTTGTGGTAGCCAGTCACCTCCTCGCCCTTGCTGAAGTGCTTCTTGTGTCCGTGGTCTCCCCCCTTGTAACCCTTGCCTGCTTCATAATGCTTGCCGTGAGCGCCGGCCTCGTCATGGTAGATTTTCTTCTTGCCATCGCCTTCCTCGTAGAATCCCTCGCCGTGTTCCTTGCCATAGCTGCCGGACTGACCCTTCTCATGGTGACCTTTCGTGCTGAAACCTTTGCTGCCTTTCTCACCGTGCGCAGCGTGGTGTTCTTCTCCATAGTCATTGCCGGCTCCTTTCTCGTATCCTATTCCATGGCCTCCGTTGTACTCGGCTGATTCTTCATCTGAGCCTTCGTCGTCTTCTGCATCTAGAACTGCGATAGGTTTAGCGGCTATGTAGGGTAATGGTGCCGGGACTAGGTCGTAAGCTTCGAGGGCTTTGATGGGTTGGGCAAGGGGTAGTGGTGCGAACAGCTGTGGCTGCTCATAGCCGTGTCCTCCCAGCTGGACTAGGTTCCCGGGGCCACCGTTGTCGCTCCTATAGATGTAGCTAGTAGCTGCTGGTGCAAAGCCCACTTGCACTGCCGCAGCGGATGCCAAAGCGAATACAAAACCAGCGATCGTCTTCATCTTGAGATGTGTTCAGTTCAGCAAACTGTTTCGTTATACTTTACTCAGCCCGTTGCCCAATATTTATATTTGCTCGAAGCACGAAGGAAGGACCATGAGTGTGCTGCTACCTTTCTTGTAGCCATGTACCAGATTGCTTATTAACGAGGTTATAGGTGACAAAGACATTGCTAATGAAAAAATTATCATTGTGAAACCGACGCGCGCCTCGACCGCAGTCAAATCACCGTGAAATGATTTTTTCTTACTTGTTTGCATTATTCATATTCAAATTGTTTCAACTTATCATTTAAAACTTATTTTATTTAATGTTTACTTATGATATATTCCAAAAAAGCAACAGAAAATGCGTTCCCTTAAGATATTACATACATGTTAAATATAGTCACGAATAACATAAGGGTATTTGTTACATATAAGGAAATAAATTCCGACTTGATACCTTCACGGGTTTTTGAGAAGAAGGGTCTTGACAGACAGACGGACGGACGACAAAGTGATCTTATAAGGGCTCCGTTTTTTTCGTATGAGGTACGGAACCTTAAAAATTGTTTATACAATTGTACATTATACATCATAGGTTTCGTGTCATATCAGATACTAAAATTTATAATACTGTAATACTTTATCGTAATATAATTTATCTTACATCGTATTAACATAATATTTAGATGAATGGATGGATGTTTGTTTTTCGGATTTCGATGAAGTTTGGGACAGATGTACAATATAGCTTGGAAGAACGCATAGACTACATACTAAGTTTTTTTTATTAATTAAACGAAGATACAGGCAAAAGATACAGTCGTAAGTACTATAATCAAATTAATTCTATTAAGTATTTTACTTAGTTTATTTTATGCAGTTCATTGTAAACATGCTTAATTATTTAATTGCTTAAGGTACGCGTCCATTGACCCACGCCGCCACGCACGTCTGATACACGCTGCCCAATTTAAAATTACACAAAGCAAACTAAAATCCTCTGCAGGCCGCGCGTGCGATGCGTTTGGCGTCACCCAATGAAGGCGTACTTTTTCATAATATTTTCAAAAGTTTTCTCGAGTATAATAGTACAAGCTACTAGATTGTGGATATTTTTTTAATATATCAATTTCATTGTACTTCTTCGCTGTTGGCCATTTGATACATATCTTATAAGGTGAGATGAAAAGAAAATCAAACTCTAGCATTTTTACTACATTCTATCTTTGCATATTTAAGTTGTACAAGCTTCAGTTCTGTCGGATAAAAGAAAACACTTTTTCCCGTGCCAAATTAAATGCCGGATACTCTAAAAACTTCGATTCCGAATTTTAACTACTTCAAGACATCAAGACATTTTAATTGATCAAAATAGAATAGGGTCTTTAGTTTTTACTTTGATTTACTCATAACCAGACGAAAAGCATTGTCCGTAGTTAGAAGTTGTATAGTATTGTTTTGTTACATCGTGTTTATTATTAATAAGGATTGCAATCCGATCCAGATTATATATGATTTGGCCGCACTATCACTGTCTCTGTGTACAACCTTTCGCGTTTCAGCTATGGAGTAAATGATGCAATTTCCTCTTTTCCCAGCTCCCCGCTAATTTGACCCACGAGATTGGTAAAAATATTGCTATTTCGTAACTATACTTATTTATATTTTGTAAAATAAAGAGGAGTATGTGAAGAAAGTTATGCAAATTATTCAGACGTTAATTCTTGTGTGTGTGTTGTGTTAAACTTGTGTTTACTTTAAGCTGTGCTTCTGACATTCCTTTTTACGTAATCATATATTATTTTCTATCAAAAAATGTGTAAATACAATGTTGAAACTGAATCAATCAAAACTTCAGATAAGCTGGCTTTATGAAGCTTTTTAGTTTTTATGTGGTCATTGACCTATCCGTAAATATAAATAAAATAACAATATTAAAGAATAAGTTAAGGTTTTTTTTAAGTATAAATTAATAAAAAAATTAAATACATTTGGTTGTATATCTTATCTTTATATCTACACGTACATATTTACAAAACTCTATTATAACTCAACAAAACTATAACAAACAGTATAATTCTTTCAGTGCTTGACCTCGTAGCCGTAGCTCTGGCCCTTGACTGCTCCGCCCTTTGCGCCATTAGCCTCGTCTCCATGCTGCTCAGACTTTCCTCCTGCCTCCGCTGAATGTCCGGCATCGTTGTCTGCACCAGATTCCTTATTGAAGTGTCCTCCTTTTCCTGAACCTGCTTCCGAATGTCCTGAATCATGGGACTCTCCTTTTTTATGCTCTCCGTCATTTGTTTCATGGTGTTCATGTTCTTTGCCGAACTTGTTGAAATCTCCCTTGTGTCCTTCGCCATCATAAAAGTCATGGTCTTTTTTGAATTCGTCCTTATCAAAGACCTTGTGAAAGCCTTTGACTTTCTCACCTTTGCTGTTCCCTTCCTTATGTCCGTGGTCTCCCCCTTTTTCTCCGTGACCTTCTGCGTAATGTTTACCATATTTATCGGCTTCATCGTAACCTTTCCCGTGACCACCCTTTTCTGATGCGTAGAAGCTTTTGTAATTCTTGTTGTGGTAGTCTCCGGCGCCTCCCTTGCCGTAATAGTTTTCTGTGCCGTAACCTTTGTAACCCTTATCGCCATAAGAGTGATGACCTTTAGCTCCATAGCTGTCACCTTCACCATATCCGTGATAGAGTCCATCTTTGTAATGTTTCAAACCGTGAAGATACTTCTCAAAATTATTTTTATAGTCTTCATAACCATCGTAACTCTTTGGATATTCTTCATCAGCTATGCCGTCAACGTGGCCATCGTTTTCCTCATGTTTTTCAACAACGGGTATGACATGCGCTTCCTTACGCGACTCCTCTTTGCTGTCATCAGCCTCACCTTCTGAAGCAGCTTTATCGTGAGCTGCGAACACTTTCGGATGATCGTAGAACTTCGATAGTTGTTCTAATATCTCATCTTCGTCCATTTTGATGACACTGGCGAGGCCATCGTTCTGTTTTTTGTAGATGTATCCGGTTGCAGCCGGTTGAAGGTCAGATCCTGTAGTGCGGACCATGACCATCCTTTCGACTGTCTCCCGCATCTCCATACAGGAGGCGACGGTTACTATTAGCAGTAAGGGAATGCGCCGCATCATGTCGGCTTCTTTGACAGTAATGACGATTGAAGGCTGGACAAAGTTTTATATAGTGTGTAGCAGTGCCTGTTAAGTGACATTCGTGAATGACCCGATTCTATAGCACTCTCGCGATTGAGCAACACTCTTCTGTGTCAATGATAATGAAAAACCCTGTGTTATTTATACGGTGCATTGCCTCTGATTGATTGTCACAAAAAAGCGCGCGTGCGCGAATTTAAGTGGTCTCAATTAATAGGCCGAATCTTAGTTAAAGAGTAATTTTAAATGTTTTGTTAAATTTTAAGTCAAGCTAAATATGCAGTAACAATGAAATTCTAAGGTCAACAAAAGGGTTCTCGCAGTAAAATACTGATTTGTTATTATTATTAATATTTAAAAATAAATTTCAGCTTGATACCTTTCCGCGTTCCAGAGAAAAAAGGGTCTTGACAGACTGGACGGACAACACAGTGATCCTATAAGGATTCCGTTTTTTTATATGAGGTACGGAACCCTAAAAATTACGTAATTGAATAATAAATGAAATAATACATGTAAATAAATGTAAACTATCATGTATTTAAACGTGTACAATTTATTTATACAAATAATATCATTCCCTTAACATAATACTTACATGTTACATTTGTTTCACTAATCTATTACCATATTTTGTTCCTTAACACGTTAACTGCCAGAATGATTTATAAAAACGAAAAAAATTGACCCTCTGTTTATAAGCTTTATGGGGCCTTGCGTATCACGTTGTATACAACAATTCGATTAAAAAAACGTCCGAGAAGCCACAGCGAGGTGTTGAATGGAAGTATGGCTTGTCGGACACATAGTCCGACACGGCCTGATTGAAACATTAGCTTGTCGGACATATAGTCCGACATGGCAGTTAACGTGTTAATACTCAAAATACACTGTCAAATCTTTGGACTTTTCTTTTTCAACAGTTCCAACTTATTTGAAGTTCCTAAAATTAGAGAAATTTTTAACTTTACCATGTATTCTACCACTGTTAGAGTACTTTCTATAATTACTTTTGCTATTTTCAATTTGATTTTCTGAATTCATACTTGCTTCTTGATCTTTATACAAGCTGTTTGTGCGTTCGTCTTGCGCGTTCATAACCATATAACCATCTTGTTGATCTATTATATCAGGGCTCATTCTGTAAAATACTGCATAAGGACTATTCGTTACGTCAATATTTTCATCAGCTATATGTTCCACTAATCCTTGCTCGATAGGCATACGTTTTAACGTAATCACATTGTCAAGTACCGTGTAATATTTGTTCTTTTCTCCATACATATCCATATCTTCATTGCCATTGATGTCTCTTTTCCTTCCAGTCTTCTGTTGTATTTTATCTGTCAGTTTCCCACCTTTGTCATTAACTCTTCTTATTGTTGGTGAGTTTTCATCATTGTTTGTTGATTTTTGAATGGCTTTATTTATTTTTAATTGTGGTTGCATTTTATGTGTGAATCCTGGCGAGCGTTTAGCAGATGGAGGATTTCTTGGACGTTGATTTAGGTTAATAACATTCTGATTTTCACTATACGATGTTATATATATATCTTTGCGATCATAAATTTTGCTATTTTTATTTCTATAAACATTTTCATCTAGTATATCACTGCTTGGTTTCTTTGTGGCAGTTATATTTTTATTTTCTTCAGGAAATAAATTATCATGTGACAGCAAATGTTTGGTATTAATTGCATCTTTAATCATTATATCTTCACGTATATTTGCTGGTATTGTAAACTTTTGTACATTATTTATATCTTCACTATTTACATTTGAAATTATAGGATTTGTGAAACCAGTTTTAACGACTCTAAAATGTGAGTCAACTGAACGTTCGTTCATTAACTTTTGAAATTTAGGGTTTCCGTTAGTGATGAAGTATTTCTTGTGTCCATTCAGCTTCGGTCTCGTGTAAGGTATATCTCCACCGGTAGAAGGTAGGAAGTTTGCGACATTCGCGATATCATCGTAGATATAATTTGTAAGAACTCGCGGAAAATAATTGAAGCACACGAACACACTGATAAATTTTAATGCGACTTTCATCTTGTTGGTCGACAGAATGGCAGGAGCAGTAAATTGGTTTTACAATTTTATAAAACGTTTTGTTTGCGATCGCGTTGTTTGTTGACGAAGCGGATTGTAAACAAGTATACATTGTGTTCAAATAAATTATTCATCAAATATTATTAACGTTTGTTCATGTTGATGATTTAGTATGGCTTTAGATATTAATATATTTCCTATTATTCTTTATGTTTTCGCATTTAATTTTTATTAGAAACATTCCCGAATATTCGATAAAATAGTGAAGTAACTCTACTAACATTTTGACTTTATGATAGATATTTTATGGCCTGTAAGTCTACCGTCTACAAAAACATTCTTTATTTGACTTGATATAATCTTAAAAGCGTTGTTTTTACTCAATTATTAATTCCCTATTATGTTCTTGCAGCAACTCTTCTTACAATCGTTCAGTAGAATGTTAACAACTAAGTGTGCTTTGCGCCTGCCAAAATATAGCAGCAATATTCTGTACATTGCCAACCTCGTATTTTTAGGTAGTATAGAATATTTACTATTTTCCTTGCTAAGCGAAGCTGTAAGGAGTAAAAAACTGTTTTTATGGAACTTGGTTTTAGTAAAATTGTAGAATGAGACTTTTATTTTCTAATCCTTTGGCTTAGGGTTCTAAAATTTCTTTTATTTATGATATATTAACCGGGAAAGAATCCTTAGGACTGACTTTTACGTTGTAGTGTCGGTGCTTGATCCGCAGTTAAATCTTTGTTTTTCTAAAGTTAAAGATTTAAAAGTAATAAATAGAGCAATTAACTAAATAGCAAAGACGGAACCCCAATACTTACGATGAATCTCATGACAATAGTGATTCAACATAGTTATAAAAATATTGTTTAATACTCAGCGTGTATATGTAGCGAGACTACATTGTCACCGTGAAGACAGTTATTTAAAACATACCTTGTTTATAATATACTTTGAATCAATACTTTCCCACTAGTCGGAACACGGCCATACCAACATACAGTACGTAGCAATGATAATTCTCGTCTACATCGCGTTATCCTGCGTCCATGCTTGCCATGCGCGACTGCTTGCAAGGACTACGGAAAGAGCTATTGTCGCTAAAAATGACGATTTCAAAACTGTCTCCATAACCAAACACTGTCTCCACGATCACGAAAAACTTCACCGGAAAAGCCGCTCCTACATCGATTACACCGTCGATCAATCGAACAACGTTAAACGATCCGTCGAAAAAGGGAAAATACCACTGGTAAAAAAACCAATACCAATGTACGTCGAAATTAACTACGAAGACGATTATCAAACAAGACAAGTGCGTTGGCCGGAAAAATACAGAGATTCGAGTGAAAATGAGGACGAAGATTTTAATGTCGATGATTACGAATTCGATGTAAATCACGACGAATTCGCATCGCGAAGAAAACCCCTTGTACCGAGAACGAAACCGGATAAAAACGATGGTGAAGTTAAAACGGCAACAAAATCTGAAACTAAATCTACACCCGCTGATATAAAAGGTAACGAAAGAACACAAAAGCCACAGACTAAGAATAAACGAGAAAACAAAATGAGTGACAAAGCTACGGATAAGTCTAATAAATCTAAACTAGAAGATTACTACGATGAATTGACATCTAAAATTCCTGGTAAATTGATGAAAGTCGTTTATTCCCATGAAGATTTAGGTGATGAGTCGGATGCGAGCGTCGAACGAGAGCGAAGAGGTTCCATTAGAACGATTAGATCACCATGGGATATAGGCATTTACATGGATAAATTAGGAGAAAAAACATCGCTAATAGTAGATAAAGTTCTTAGTATCCTGCCTATGTTCCCACAAATTCCAACACGGAAAAGCGATGGAATTAAAAAATAATGCACCAGTCAATCTTTCACGAATGATTAATTCCTCTTTATTTATTTCTCACAGTTTACTTCTTGCTGATTTCTTTCAACGAAATGGGTATATTTGAAATATGTTTGCTATAATTATAACATCCAGGGATCATTTCTTTTTTACTGTCTACCTGTATCATAATATATGTATGTTAAAGACTTTTTTATTTGTCAAATAAATAATAAAATACATAAAGGTTTTATTAACTTCGTCATCTTTGAATACTTTCCCCTTGAAATTGAACACACCTAGAATTATTTGAAATTTAATTCGTCTTATATCATTTCCCTCACTCATCACGTCTCATCAATCGCTCTTAACTTAGGGTAGACTTTGATCCCCTCGGTGGGGACGTATAGTGAGCTGATGATGATATTAACTCACTTTGTAAAATGTTACTCAAGTTGCTATTTCAGCGCCTTTCAAATAAGGGAGGCGAAGCCGTGATTATGGGATTCATCGGAGCGTGCCAGTTAAACATAAGGGCAGAACGTTTCACGCGATCAAGTTCTCCCACGACTCATAGAACTTTAAATATAGACCCGTATATAGAGGCAGAATACTAATAATCTACTGCGCCAGCTTGAGACATTGTGATTCAGTTACATTCCGAAAAGTCAACATTGCTATTAACGCTCGTGACAATATAAAGGTGACGTAATTTTCTTAAAAAATTTTTGAGACTGCTTTTTCTTTCTGTGCAAATTGTCAGATAATTCGTTTGGATTACTGGACCAAATTTTGGTTTTGGGCTGTTCGAGGGTCAGCTTTTAATTGGGTTTAGCTTGGTTTCAAAGATACACAAAAAATAAAAGACGAAAAATTCTTTTAGAAACATATTTTTATGTGAAAAATTATAAAATGTAAAATAACAAAGTTTACAGGAGTAAAGAAAGTAAAAACATAACATATAAATTCTTTTATAACTATGTTCTTATGAAAAAATTGTAACTAAATAACAATCTTATTCAAATATTGCAAAATACATCACAAATGACGGTCTCTAAATAGTTTTTTACTATTAGTTCCACAGCGAAATGTAAACTAAACGATTGGGTCCTGAGATTAGCGAATTGAATCTCAATTTTTTTTTAATATTAGCAGATTTTTGTTAATTTACTATAACAATATTTCTTGTACAATTCCAACTAAGCTCTATACTTGTGCTAGAACATGGTTTACAATAGTCGAATGGTGGGATTCAAACCAGACTTGACCATTAGACTAGTATTGAATTTATTCATTTTTTATAAAGCATGTTTTCTAAAGTATCGATATAGTCTGCATTATTTACAAGGGCAACATTTTTGGCGACATGCCTCAACCGACTTAATGCATTCGATGTATCTTTATCATCTCTTTTGCTTTCAGAATGTGTTTCGTGTGCATTCAAAAACTGTTCAAATTCACTTAAAGTTGTGAAAACATTTTCATTTTCGTTTTCTTCTTTATTTTCGTTATTATAATTGGCCACTAAAGCTAAAAGTAATTCACCAGCTTCTTGTAATTCATCTTTCTCCTCATTTATAGCGTAATTTCTATTTACATCTTCTCTTTTCCTTAAAATAAGAGTATCATTGCTTTTATTATTCGATCCAAATTTTGTAACAAACATGTCGACAATACTTTTAAATTCCTTATGATTCTCTGGAACCATTTTAATAGGTTTTGCTGTTAAACTTTTTATAATTTCTTCAGCTTCCATTATATATTTTGCTTCGGTTGTATCACGTGTCGTTGTTTCCGTGCTACTTACTGGAATGTAATAGTTTTCTAAACGTCTTACTCTTTTCGCATCACGTTTAGCTGTTAATTCTTTATCGAAATCTTTTCCCCAACGTACGTCCTCCATTAATTTGGGATCGTCTTCAATATTTCTATCAAAGTAATCATTTAATATAAATGAAAAGAAAGCTTGGTCACCGAATACAGGATTATCTGGATCACTGCCGTATTTAGAACTTAGGTAAGTGATTCGTTTATTACCAAATGTATCGCTTGTTAAACGTAAAGGTACAATTTCTTCTGTGTAATACGGATCTTTGTACATTTCTAGTTCTGAATCTTCTTCGTGAATAGGTTCATATATTTGTGAGTTATAAACAAAATTAGGCTTTATAGGACGTGGAGAAGTCAATTTTTGTTTAGATAATTTATGATGTACCTTTAATGGTTTAGTATTAGATTTTGTTTGATTTTCATTCATTGTTATATTTGTAACCTCTTGATCTGCCTTTGTTGTAGATTTGATATGGGGTTCATTTTTTTTCTTCAAATACATTATTGATAAAGGCGCTTCAGTGAATGGTATTATAGATTTGCGTACATTTTTATTTTTCTTCGTTGTTTTTTGATACAAATTTGTATATCCGCTTCTTTTTCTTTGATTTTCCTTTTTTATTGTTCTTGATGTAGAAGACGATGAACTAATGTTAGTTGAAAACTTCACAGATACTGTCGAATTAACTCTGAGATATTGTGTGATATTATTAGGTTTAGTTGAAGTTTCAGTTTGTGAGATTGTTACTATTGTACGTTTAACGTTGTAAGATAATTTTCCTTGCATTATTAACAAGAGTAGAAAGACAACACGTAGCATAGCTACATGAGGCCCGCGTCCGGTGACGATGGCTACTGATTGTGTGAACAATGTATTTGTTATTTATTTACATTAAACATATTAATATTGCTTACATTTCTTATTCAAACAATCTTTGTTTTATTAATACAAGGAGTCTTGGACTCTTGAATCAGTTTATTATTGGATCAAATCATTTAAACTGTAGGTTGTGTTAAACATCGGTCGATACTTTGAGATATGTTTTTAAAGTTTTCCATTGTTAATGCTGATGCTATACGAAATATAGTCACAATAAAGACAAACAGAACAAAGAAGACATAGTCCTTTTAATTGAAGAGAAATTTGATGCCAGTTGACGTCATTTCAAAGAATATTCCCAGGTAAACTTGCTTCTATCGTTCAAAACTAAGTAAACTTCGTCTTCGCAAGTACTTCTCAAACATTCGAGTTAGATGTAATAGACCAACAACGATTTCCTTTAACCATCTATTTACACATAAGACAAAGACGGATAAAAATACGAAAAAAAAACATTAAAAATAAAACATCGAAAACGGACAAATTCATTTTTATTCCAAATAGAATCTCAAGATGTTACAAAAATAATTTGCATCTCTTTGTACAGACCAAGCCTCGTTGAATCGTTAACATTTCTCATACAAATAGTCGACAAACCTCACTCGATACGGGACCATAAAATTGTTACATTTACAATCGAACCTGGAGGATTAGACAAAATGCATTCGCTCCGAAGCGATTCCATAACGAACTTCAAGCATGTATAGAATTGACAATAACTTTCGAAGTTCGTTATGGAATCGCTTTGGAGCGAATGCACTTTGTCTAACACCGCTGGATAAGCGGAGTAATTGTCCCAACGGACGACCTTCATGAACGAGAAACTCGGGTTAAAGAGAAACCTTTATAAACTAAAGAAATATCCGTCTCTTGGACTCTCAATTAACCAGGTTTGACTGTATTATTAAATTTTACTAAACAAAAGTAACAAATTCATGATCCCCGATATAAATCTATGACTTTATAATATTTAAATATATAAGCCCTTAAAATAGAACAAAAAATAATTTAATACAAAATTTAGAGGTAATTTCTTCTGCAAAATCAAATATTAACTACAATTTCATTTGACAAGTTAAAAAGCAAATTTTTTTTTTAAATTTAGTGAAAATTGGATATAAAATATTTAAAACAGTCTAAACATCATAGAAAACGATGATCTTCACAATTATTATTTTTTCTGTAAGGGCTTATTATATTTCTTTAATATTTACTTTCTAAACTCTTGTATGTATTTATAGCAGTTGTTAATTGCTATAGAGGCAAACATAAAGGACAAACACGTGGTCCACTCAGAGTCAACACTTATAAACAAAAATTTATAATTATATCTCATATCTATAACAATTCTAGAAATGTACTGGACGAGTATTACTCTGTATTTATTTTATATGAGCATTTATATCTTTAAAATCCATAGACAATCTCCTTATGTTTGACACAGATAAAATTTATCCGCCTCGATAAGGACCAGAAAAATTTCCAAAGATTAAACAAATAAAAGAAAGGAAAACATATATTTCAGTTTTTTTTTAATCATAGATAAGTTAATTGACGCAAAATCGAGTCGCCACTTTTATTCGAGGCTGATTCACTAATCGTGTTTATATCAGTCTTATAAAAATATATATATATTTCTAGCTAAATAACATATTAATCGTCCAAATACATTTCTAAGCAAATCACATTAAATAACCCAATTTCCACAGTCAAGATATTTCTGCAAACCAATGGCACTTGGTCATTGTATTCCTTCCGATTTCTTAGTTATATTGCTTTGACTGTCAAAATGGGACTATAACTTTGTGACTTTAAAACACCCTGTGGTGTTTACATATAAAGGTACGCGTACTTCCGCGCCGGACGCACAGCACGCACTACCCGCATCGGATCACTTGATAAATCCGATGCGTACGACGATGGATACAACGCTATGTACTCATATAAACTAAAATCCGTTGCGTGCCGTGCGTGCGGTTAAATTACGTGGGATAATGGACGCGTACCTTTGTTATAAGCGTGTTGGGTACACCCTAGCAATTTAGATATCGTCATTCATAATTTTAGTATATAAAATAATTATTATTTAAGGAAATTATACATATGTAAGAAATAGTTAAATCATTGCTCCATACTAATATTTCATTAAGTTAAATTTAAAAAAATTCCAATTCTTTAGTGCATTCAAGTAATCATGATTTTGAGATTCTTATAGTTTTCTGCATATTTCGGTACCTAATACTTTATTTATAATTTAAAAAAAAAACTGACAAGATTTAGAACATAATTACGAATACATGTAAAGTAAAATATCGCACATTTGACAGCTAAAATGGCGCCAAAATGATAAATCAAAATGGCGACCAATGTAATATTATGCATTTAAATTAATCCATATTTATGGAATAAATTGTTTCTTTACAATATTGTTAAAACATATTAATAATAAATTAATTATTTGTTAGTACAAACAAACATACAAACACATTATTGTTCCTAAATGACATATTAAAACAGAGATTCCTAAACATTTTTTTTCTTGTCTACTGTCAATTTTTTTCATTACTTTCATTGGATCCTCTGCTACATTTCTTTTTCAATTTGTAAACGTATATAGACCCCGGGGTGTCTAACTTGACCACTTTGGGTATATAATTATTCAAATCTCACACTTATGCATATAGAAATAAGGTATATTTATGAATGACGATACATTGTGACGTCATCTCGCCGAAGCGGACATATACCCTGGGCAACTAGACTTCATCTAATCTAACACTAAGAGGCTCCCAACAATTAGACTAGACACGAAAGGCACGAACTCACAACAAAAACATTAAATATAAATTAAAAGTCGTTTCCTAATATATTTGGTATATACTATGCTATATGAACACATAGCGATTTAACATATTAATGCTATTCCACAATATCTTTTAATTCCAAACTATATTTATGAGTAGATTTAAATTATATACAACTAACCTCTATATATGGATAGGTTATTAAACGCGGTATTTTGTGCCGATTTCATTTCCGCCATTTTGGCGCTGGCGGTAGCGGTTTAAAATGGTGAAAATTCAAACTAATAGTATACAGAACTGTCAGTAACATCAATAGATTCGTTTAACCGTGGGTTTCTAAAGCTACAATTTCTGTATAAAACATATAGTCATCCCTGTCTTTACCTTTAACAAAACTGCGATAAAAATGTTTTAATCGAAAATGTGATCTTAGCAACCCACGATCATTTCCGAGCCTATCCATTTATCCATCCATCGTGGCCTCCCGCACGATTGAAGTATGACCTGGTGAAGATTACGGGAGTATACTGGATGCGGGCGGCACAGGACTGGCCATTGTGAGAACCGATGGGATAGGCCTACGTCCAGCAGTGGATCAATTTGACCTGATTATAACCTATCCATTAATGGAGATCAATGTCCATACAACCAATGGATATTTTTTAAATGAATTAATTATTTCAGGGCATTAAAATATTTAATTTGAGTAAATCAGCTTCCGATTTAACATATCAAAGCAATATGAACTTTAACCGCATCGTTTTAAAGGACATTTTACAATGTTAAACATAAAATTAATACTTATGTGTCCAAGTCAAGGAAGCACAATAAAATCACAAGGAAACATCTTATATCGCTTACATAGAATCTTAAACCTTACGACATTAGACATAAGGACGGGAGCCTCTTATATACTAGGCATTTCGTTTTATTATATAAAAATATTTATATATATTTTAAAGATAAAATTTGAGAGCTCACGGTCAAGTATTGAAGTTCTAACTGGACCTGGAAGTTATACCACCGGACTGATTTCACGTCATCTGGAAATATATTAATAATATGTTATTTTGGTTGTCATTACCCTTCCCTGGAGCTTGACCCGGAGCGTCGGTGGCTCAGTGGTCAAGCACTTGACTTGCAATCTGCGAGTCCTGGGTTCGAATCCCGCCATGTACCAATGTGTTTTTCCATTTCCGATTTACATATGTACATTTATCCGACGTTCTTACGGTGAAGGAAAACATCGAGATGCAACCTGCACATATCTGAGAAGAAATTCAAAGATACGTGTAAAGTCAACCAAGCTGCACTTGGCCAGCGTGGTTGACTATGGCCTAATCACCTGTAACTTAGGGTAGGCTCCGAGCCCCGCGGTGGGGACGTATAGTGAGCTGATGATGAAATGACCCTTCCCTGGTCAGGAAAATAATACAAGATTTTGACAATTTTAGCTGTATGTATTTACTAGCAGTTGCCCGCGACTCCGTGCGGAATTAAAAAAAGTAGCCTGTGTGTTCTTCCAGACATTCTTCTATATGTATGCCAAATTTCATCGAGTTTTTTTTAGTCTTTCTGGAGATACCTCCATCCATTCATTCATCTAAACACACATTTATGATATTAATAAGATTACCCTTTTTATCAATTCTCCACACAGATTAACCAATCAAAAATGTGTGACCTGAACTTAGTAGGTTATGAGTTCTTACAGACTATGTTCTACATCTATGCTAAATTTCGACAAGATTCATTGAGCCGTTCTGGAGATACCTTTAAACAAATATCCATCCATCATTTTTTTATATCATAAGATGACAAACAAGCGAGCGGCCACCTGAAATAGCGAAGTGACTATTGCTCATAGACATACACAATTGCATATGCGTTGCCTACCTTTCATCGACGGAGGAGAGGATGCACAGAAAGAAAATATTTTCCCTTTCCATACATTCTCTCATCCGGAATATCCACTTCCACTTCTCATCTTTTCCTTAAAAGAAAAATGGTGGGAAAGAAAACTGGACTAAATTAGGCCTCCGGGACCCACACTTCAGACTTCTGTGTGGTGGTGGTATATCACCGGACGAGCCGGGACAATTCCTGCGAACATGTTAAAGCTCGCTCTACCACTGTTAAAATTTTAAACATTCTCTTTTATATAACTATGATTACTTCACAGATATGTGCATCACGATGTTTTCCTTCACCATAATAACGTCAGATAAATGTAATTGAGACATGTATGGTGTTTAATTGTATGTGATAAGGCACAATATTGTGTGTCACCTCAGGAGTGGTGCAGGGATTGGTTGGCGAGGGAGCCGTCCCACGCCGCCTCCTTGTGCAGCGCTGCTTGACGCTTCTTCTCTGAAATACAACATAAACAATATTAATAATGTTTAACATCTTTATCATCAGACTCACTGACAACCGCGATGTCGTGTGCGCTACATTAAAAAAAGACTTAATAAGTAGCCTATGTGTTCTTCCAGACTATGTTTTACATCTATGTAAAATTTAATCTCATATAAGTTAAACTGTTCTGGAGATACCTTCTAATACATCCATCCGTCCGTCCAAACTCTCGCTTTTCTAATATAGATAAGTAGGATGATATACTTTTAACATCATCATCAGCTCATTATACATCCCCACCGAGGAGCTCGGAGATTACCCTGAGTTAGTAGTTGATTAGGCCATAGTCAACCACGCTGGCCAAGTGCGGGTTGGTTGACTTCACACATATCTTTGAATTTCCTCTCAGATATGTGCAGCATCACTATGTTTTCCTTCACCGTAAGAACGTCGGATAAATATACATAAGTAAATCAAAACACACATTGGTACATGGCGGGATTCGAACCCAGGACCTGCAGATTGCAAGCCAAGTGCTTGACCCCTGAGCCACCGACGCTCTTTATACTTTTTTATATTGCTAAATTATTAAGGTAAAAATCATTATTAGGGTCCATGAAACATTAAGTTTGTTTGAACACTGTAGATTCTTAGTGTAGCTGCGGGGTTACCTCTGGCGATGGTGATGAGGCGGCGCTCCTCAGCGCGCTCCTGCCTTGCGGTGCTGAGCCGCACGCCCAGCGCGCCCGACACCAGCCGCCGCGCCAGCGCTGTGCACGTCTCCGGACGCTGTCTGATAAACAAACATTACACTTGTACGAATAAGTCACTTTCTCAGATCAACATCTACCTTTAAAATTACTAAACATATGACTTTTATAAGATTAGGGGGCAAACGAGTAGCGGAATCACCGAGGTGTTCATGGAACCGCAGATATGTTGGCGGTCTTTGAGATGGTGATACGCTTCTTGAAAGACCCTAAGTAGTAGCGGTTTGGAAATACAGCAGAGGACAGACCATTCCACAACGCGGTGCTGGCTGTGCGAGGTAGAAAATTCCGATATTTTTTAATCCAAACGGTTAGTGGACTTTCATGTAATAATTCCACTTACGTGGTTAGCGGAATCCAACCTTGGATATTAGGTGTAGTAGCAAATGAATCTGGAGTGTTAAAAGATTTACCTGATACGTGATTTTTGTTAAACGAAGACCTGTATATAAGAAGTCCTTTGCTCCTTATATACAGGTCCTAGTTAAGGAGCCAAGGCAACATTGAATTTTAAAATTTTGTATATAACAATAAAGATTTTTCTTTTTTTCATTTATCTTCTCCTAGACTTAAATCGAATACTAAGTATATTTTAAGAATCATTTCTTTACTTAATTATTATTATTAAGATTAAAAAAACCTACATTTGAATACTAGGTTATCGCAAAACAATACAGGAAATACAAAATATCTAGACATAAGATTGTCTATATAATATTACCTGTACGGTTGAAGGAATTCTGCGCATTTCTTGGCCTTGTTTCTAGATTCAAGTGTGGCGGCGTGTAGAGGCCGGCACTTAGCTAGAGAACGCTGCGTTGACAACACTTCCGCAGCTGAAATGATAAACATTAACTTTAGTTAATATTAACAGGTAAATAAATTCAAATAAATATAATTAAATAAGGATTAAATAGAAAGATATTTAGGTAAATCTTGATTTCGGATTTATTACTGGAACATGCTGTATTATATATTGGAACATGCTGTATCATGTACATTGTGTTAGGAAGAAAATCCGACAGTGTGCCGGTGTACTGGCGCAACACTAGCCTTACTAAAATGTCAACGTTTATGTCCCCTCAATAATCATTCTGACACTTGATTTTGTAATGAAAACGCGCCATTTGCACCAAACGATTCAAACTAATAATGTCTAAAAAATGGAACATGCTGTATTATATAGATTGGAATATGCTGTATCACGTACATTGGAACATGCTGTATTATATAGATTGGAATATGCTGTATCATGTACATTATTGGAACACGCTGTTTCATGTTCCAATGCAAACCGGTCGACATCCGTCGCAACGGCAATGACCCCCGCATTTGACTATGCGACATTTGGCGATACTCCAAATACATACGGAAGGATTGAAACTATTATTAGAGGTAAGGAATAAAATAATAATATACTAAAATCATACAAGAAACTAGGATTTATTGGTTCAAACATGTATACAAGCGTGGGTTTCTAAGACTAAAATCTCCGTTTCAAATATACTGTTATCGTTGTTTAGTCAAAGGTCAACAGGAAAATGTTTCATATAGAGATTTCAGTCTCAGAAACCAACCGTTAATTGGCATCCATGCAAGTCGAGATACCCATAAATGTATAATTATTTATGTAAATATTAATCTTCGTTATAATATGTCTATTTTATTATTATAGTGTAGACAGAAATAAAGACAATGCAAGCATGCGAGGTGCACAGCCTACTTCCCGGCAGTTCAACGGCCGCGCTGACGCAACAAGAAAGTGGGCCAAAGCACACGCTGTTATTATGGTCACATCATTTTATAAGTTGCATCATTTAATAGGTATAGATTCAAGATATAAAAGGTCTGGTTATAAACAAAGAGGACTCTAAAGAAATTGTAAGCGTCTTGGCTAAATCTTACTAATATAAATGCGAATGTTTAGATGCACGAATTGATGGATGGATGTTTGTTTGAAGATAGCTCCGGAACTGTTCAACGGAGCTTCATGAAATTTAGCACATCGGAGTCACGGGCGACAGCCAGTAAACTAATAATTACGACAACGTACCTGGTATTTTCCAGACAAAGTGACCAAATATACTAAGTAACAGAATGATTAACTAAATTCTGGTCCTTCCAAGTACGATATGTATAGCTAGTTGGATGGTAAATACGATATTGCAGCAACCCACTTTCAAGCTGTAGGTTTAAGGAAGTCAATAAGTGCAACGTTAGGTAACATGATGTAATGATGAGCGGATAACTTCAGCAAATCGACCATAACTGTTACATGTTACCGTACCATAACTGTTACCGTAATCCCTGAGAGGGTTAGCAGTGTTACATAACATCGACCTTTTGCTAATCGACAGCTTACTTCCATAATAATTCTCCTCAAATTACTGTATTTCATATGTCAGTTAAGTTTCAAAATGTTGTCTATTTTAGTTTAAAAATCCCGGGTTACATAACCTATATTTAATATTAGATTTTTTTTATTCCTCACGGACAAAGTCGCGGGCAAATGCTACAAGCACAATTAAGTTATATTACTGTAGCAAAATGGTTAATAAAGGAACGGAAATAATCAGGAAGAATAAATAGAACATTGAAATTTATGAATCTACTATTCTACTAATCTGACCTTACTCCTAATATTATAAATGCGAATATTAAGATAGATGGATTTATGTTTGTTTGAAGGTATCTCGAGAACGGCTGAACAGATCTTGATGAAATTTGGCATACATATAGAACATAGTCTAGAAGACCATATACGCTACTAAATATGTTTCTTTTTTAATTCCAGGCGGAAGGAGTCGCGGCCGAACGGTAGTATAGATTTTCGACACAGAAAACTACTCCGAACTGTAAAATTAATTTGAATCTTAGCTTCCTTCTATACACAACAAAAAGTTATAGATAAAAAAAACTACATTCACACGCATTCACAATACTTTGAGAACTTCCTTATAGTGACAGATAATAAATTAAAAAAAAACATTGTAGGAAGAATATACACAATCATCTTAAGAATGTCAATGATAAATAAAACAGCGTGTAATTACCTATTGTTGTTTTGATTGACGCTCATCTTACGATAGTTTTTTTTAATCTAGTAATATGTTTTTATTTTTCAGATTGTGCTATTCTGTCTCTTTCTCAAATTCCAACTGAAGTCCGATATGGCTGAACGTCACAAAATTCCGAACGAATTTTTTTGCACGACACGACATGGGCACCAAATGTTAGGGCTACATGACCAGATTATGATACTCTATGAAAAATTAAAGATGGCCGCTGTGACAGAATGGAGGTTGACATATTTTTGTACCATCCCAACATGGGTGTCAAATGAATGGATTTGAGTAATGGAAACTTGGTAAAATTCAATTTAAAACATTTTTTTTTTATATCATAAGGTGGCAAACGAGCGAGCGGCCACCTGAAATCGCTGATATAGCGAAGTGACCGTTGCCCATAGACATACGCAATTGCATATGTGTTGCCTAACTTTGATCGACGGAGGAGAGGATGCACAGAAAGAAAATATATTCCCTTTCCATTTCACCGGGCGGGCCGGGCCAATTCGTGCGAGATGTTAAAGCGGGCTCTCTACCACTGTTAGACCAAGCTTATAAAATAAATTGCTAAAATTGGGACTTGAAAATATTTTTAATATTACTTGTTTTATCGTATAAATGTAACCGGTCTGTATCTGTAACAGATATATTTGGCGGAATGATGTACGATATTGGAATGATCTAATGGACATCGAACTGCGAGCAGTATGAATACGTAATGAAGAAAGCGGCAAAGTTTCAAGTTCAAGGCAATGGATTGTGTTTCGCATGGAAATATTGTTTGTGAAATGTGGAACGCGCTAACGAAAACGAAAGTGGTGTGTGGTACAAGTTACCGGAGTTAAGATTTTTGTTTGATTTATTTTTACTTATATATCTATTTATTGTACCACGGATAATTAGTTTAATTTAAAAACTTTACTACCAAAAAAGAAAGAAAATTCTTCCACCTTTCGTAAAATTGGTTGATGTTTACGTTGGAAAATATGCCATTTACATGCAAAATATAATATTTTTAGATTAAAACTTTAGTTATATAGGCTTAGTAAACTTTATACTTTATAAACGATTGTAGTAAATAAATAAAAAATGCAGACGTAAAATTATCAAATTTTGTAGTCACCCGCTATCGCTTATAACTTAAAGTGGATACGTGACTTGCTAGCAATATCGCTACGACCTGAGCGCACTTGATCTCCATCTGATTTACGTAACTCAACTCTGCAATACAATTGCCTCAGCCAATGCAATCCTTGCATAATGCCTGTACCAATCTTAATGTTGAGAAACAATTACTTTGCGACAAAGAATTGCATATAAACGGAACAAAAAACCCAGGTCCTTATAAGAATGGAACAAGACATGTGACACCAACAAGGAAGAGACGTAATATAAGATCTTCCTGTTCTTTTATGGAGGCACATAGTGTTTGCTTTAATCTTTATTTATAAATGAGAAAGTTTAGATGGATGGATGGATGTTTGTTAGAATGTATTTCCAGAACAGTTGCTTGGATCTTGATGAAATTTGTCTTACATATAGAACATAGACTGGAAGAAAATATAGGCTTTTTTTTAGTTTCGCACAGACTGAAACATAGGCGACAGATATACAATTTTTAAATATTAATATATGTGTCTTATTTATTAAACCTACAAAAGTTTGTTTATCTTGCGTTTTCCTTTGCATAAAAACATAAAGTTATTCGATGAAATAAGTAAGTTGTGATTCAAATAACATTTATAATGCAATAACATAACAGTTATTAAATCGTAAAAGTTCAAGACATGCCGATATTAATGGGGTCAACATATTGGAATATGAATTTTTTTACATATTAAATTAAAACGAATATTTTTAACTATTCCTCTACAATATCGTCAAGTTAAATGACCTTTACGTCCATTATACATACATACCATTATACACGTAAAACAAATTGTAAAAAATCAGCTTGAACATGACGCAGACAAATGTTTATAAGTCATTGACCTTTACTCATTATATTGTTACTTGATAATTATACGAAAATATATTAATAAAATTGGATTGTCTGTATGTAAGAAATCTACGGGTGATCTACGTAACGGTAGGACCGATTTTAACGGGAAGGTAGGTAGGTAGGTGATGCATGCGGGCATATTATCGACTACAAAAAAAAACAACTCACCAATTTTAGCGCTGCTAAAGACGATAAGCGCATGCGTGTCATCAACCCACTTGATTTCAAAGCCTGTGTCCTTGTATTCGCTAAACAGAGACAGAAGATCGTTCGTTTTAAATTCACTCGGGAAGTCGTACACCTCCACGACATGTGCGAACGTCTCGTCATACGGCCCGTTGAACAACGCCTGACCACGCGTCTGATACTGGTCGTAGTTATTCTTAGCTTTGGTTATATGAACTTTTCCCACTGTAGAAGTCAGTTCTTCTAGAAGGGACGGATCTAAACACTCTCCGCTATCATCGTACACAGTTTCCCAGTCGTTCTCGTCGCGTTTCAAAGACACTTTAGCCTCCAATTTCGGCTTAGTTTTCTTCTCTACAACTTTCTCTTTCGGTTCAACTTCAGTCTGTTTTACTTTTTCTTCTTCTACCGGTTCAGATATTACTAGGACGTCAGAATCGAAACTCTGTTTTATTATTCTCTTGGTGCTTCTATTTATCTCTTTGGATGCTCGTTTAAGCTCATTCTGTTCGTCATCCTCGTCCTTGCTGTAGACGTAGTCTCCATCTATGATCCTTTGTTGCGTGTTCTCCATGGTCACGTGATCATTTGTGAAGGTCTCGTTTGCGTAACTCTCAAGGTCCCTACTATCGTAATCGTAGTATGCAGGATTGTAGAAACCCAGCTGTCCATTTGCAAAATAATCACCAATATAAAATGTCTCTCCTACTTCTACGTCATTATAACTATTATCACTACACGATATTGCACTATCACTATTTGGCACAGGGCAGTCCGGGGGCGAGTCGTTGTCTTCTGATGGCGGCGGGCTGGCTATACTGGTGTTTGACCGCTGGTTTCTGAGATGCGGTGGTGTGTACACATTACAGAAGTTCTTGTCTATGGAGCGCTTGGGCGTGCCTTGCGCCGACTTGTCTCTGCCACCGGGGGATTTGGGGGACTTGGGCTCCACGCTGCGACTGCTCCGTCTTTGGGGGTCGGCCTTCGCCTCGTCCGAGGAGCTATTGTCAGCGCCCCGCAACGCTCGCGGTACGTACACAGCTCGGTCCGGTCTTCTCGGTTTTGCTGATCCTGACCTGTTGAACAAAATACAATCATTCACACAATGTTACTATGGGAGAGGTAAACGTAGCCTCTTTCTAGAAGATTTCTAATACCTTAAAATTAAACTAGTTGCAGCACGGATGACTCCGTTCAATCAAGAAAGTAAGCAGGTCTTTACATAACAGCGTCATGAAATAACAAGCATACCGGCGCTGTTTTGTAGAGCGTGAAGGCAGTTTGATACTTTGTTACAGATGAAGCTTAGTTTACAAGCCTTACGTATCAATAAAGAGCATTAAAAACAATTATTGCCTTTAAATTATAATATTTTTAACGACGCTCTGACCACAGCTAAAAGCAAACTATAACAAATAACAATCTTATCTGTCCATGCGGAAATTTAGGCCTACTGATAATGTACGGTATAAAATTGATAAAAATTCGCAACGTCACTTGATTGGACGTATTTTATTTACAATTTTTAGATAGACTACATATCGATCCTGGGAAGGGGAGGGGCAGGCGTCATCTGTATTAACTACGAGCCCCCACCCCCTAGATGTAGTCTAGATCGGCTGTGGACTAGACAACTAGACTATACCACACAACGACTAATTGCCTAATGCAAATATAATGAACAATAGCTTGGAACATGCTTTTATTGCGTTAACGGAATTTCCCATGTGATAAGTGCGCCATAGGTGTGCCAGCGGCGTGGTCCGTACCCACAGAGACTATTAACAACTACGTAACACCGCAACGAGGACAAGGTCGCCCGTCCAAATTGCTAGCAACCTCTCACTCGGCACACTTTCGATGTACTATGACCATGACATTAATATTACGCGGATTGAAATATTTTGTGGTTCGTCTTTGCAAAAAAAAAGTTTTATAGTTACTTTACTGTTAAATGTTGACGGAATAAGAATATTTTTTGCTCAGTAAAAAAATATTTTTGTCTATGTTACATGGTTTCTGACATTGGAACAAGGCATTCACCAGACGACCATTTATAATAATCTTACTAATATTATAAATGCGAATGAATAAATATATGGATGGCTGTATGTTAGAAGGTATCTCCAGAACGGCACAGTCTTGATGAAATTTGTCATAGATTCAGATAAAATTTAGTCTAGAAGAACTAGGTTACTATATTTTTCCTTCCGCGGTAACGGAGTCGCGCGACAGCTAATAATGTATAAAGAAGATCAAGTAAGGAAATTAAAAAAAATGTATTACAAAAATTCAATTTTCCATATTTTGATATAAACCATGGTATTAGTAGTCGTAGCCGACATTTGCTCTGAGGTAACCGATGCATTCTTTATTTGTTTATTTGCTTGTTACACTGCGTCCGGACAGATTTGTTGCGAATCGAATAGATACCTCATTAATTTATTTGTACACTAGCTGTCGCCCGCTACTATGTTCGCGCGGAATTAAAATAAACTTAATTAGTAGCCTATATGTTCTTCCAGGCTATGTTCAAGATCTATATGAAATTATAGCGGGTTCCGTTAAGCTGTTCTGGAGCCACCTTCAAACAAACATACAACAGATTTCCTAAACTCATATAATAATATGATCGAATTCTAATGGTACGGGTGCATTGTTTCGAGCCGGACGCACCGTACGCACAGCCTTAACGGATTTTATTTTGCTTTGTATGATTTTACATAGCGCTGCGTCCATCATCCACACCGCCTGCAAATCCGTGTGTGCGATGAGTCCGGCGCGGACCAATGGACGGCTTAAATGACCAAACTTCTTACTTAAAAGATTCAAAAAACATATTGAAATTAGTCTGGTATCAACGCACGTACATTCAAATCACGCGTAGTAATTCTTTTTAATAGTTTTTAAACAACTCTTTGAACAGCGAAAACAGTTCTTTATAGTTGATCTCATATCGAATACTAAACTTATTCTTCTGTTTGTTTTTTTTTTACCTGGAAGTCTCTGTATAAGTTAGAAATGACTTTAACAATATACATTATTCTTAGGTTCCTAAAGAGATCTTTATAAAAAAAAGAAACAATTTCTTTGAAAAAAAAAATGGTTGGTGGTACCTTACTGTTTTACCTACCCTACCCTACCTGGTAGAATAGACGTTACATTGTTATGAAAACGGAACAGAACATATATTCTCAGTAATGAACAAAGTTATATAGTAAACTACCTGTCGCCCGCGACTCCGTCCGCGCGGAATTAAAAACAAAACTTAATTAGTTGCCTATGAGTTTCAGCGGGATCCGTTCAGCCGTTCTGGAGAAACCTTCAAACATTCAAATTTATACTAATATTATAAAGCGGAAGAGTTTGTTTAAACGCGCTAATCTCAGGAACTACTGGTCCGATTTGAAAAATTCTTTTTTTGTTGGATAGTCCATTTATAGAGGAAGGCTTTAGGCTATATAACAGTACGCTACGACCAATAGTTTTATTTAATTCCGCGCGTACGGATTCGCGGGCGACAGCTAGTCTATAATATTAGAAGATATATAGTAAGAAGGAAGATAACTACATTGTACTACCAACAAATAAGAGCAGCAAAGTGTCCAAAGTAGACTTACAAATAATTTAGAACTTCCTACATTTATTGCGCAAGAGAATCCGGAAACATTTTGATATCAAAAGATTACCAACTATAGTTTAGTCGTCTGGGAAATTGCCACATTATATGCAAAGCTAGGACAGACAAAGGAGAAACGGATCTTGATGAAATTAGGCATAGATGTAGAACATGGTCTGTAAGAACACATAGGCTACCTTAAGTATTTTAATACCGAGCTGACGGTGTCGCGACCGACAGCTAGTCTTACTAATATTATAAATGCAAATGTTTGGATGGATGGATGTTTGAATGAATCTACGGAACGGCCCAACGGATCTTGATGAAATTTGGCATAGATGTAGAACATAGTCTGGAAGAACACATAGGCTACCTTAAGTTTTTTTTAATACCGAGATGACAGTATCGCGGCCGACTATCTATCACTAAACTATATAGGATGTTGTCTTTTGTTCTCGGTACATGACAAACAGGTCGTGTAATAAACCCAAACAGGAAAACTGACAACGACAAAACAAAGTATAAATTTGTTATACATTCTCTTGAAAAATATTGGCATAACAACATGTTTAATACAGGTTTAATTGCAGTGGGAACTCCAGGAAACAATTCACTTGATGGCGAACTTGATATTGACGTTTTAAAGTTAGTGACAATGGTAATTATTTGTCATACATTGATATACTAATTTACTACCTTATCTTATCTAAAAGAACTAAAGTAAAGATAAATAAACTTCATTCTTACGATAATTACAATTTTAATTAACTTATTATTCAAATGTTAATAAAAATATCATCTTTGTAAATAATTTAGAAGTAATTAAACAAAACACTGACCCTAAATCATAAAATTTTACGACACAAATTAATACGACTAAATAAAATTGCTCAACTTACTTATTAACGTCATGCAATTCCAAGGTCATACGTCCCTTTATCACATTCACAAAACAATAAACAATCTCCACGACACATAAAGAGTTGTATAACAGACGTGCGTCCACGTCCGCGTTCGACTCGCGAATGAAGTAGGAAGTGTGCACAGACCTGATCTTTTCCTGAGGCTGGCGACGCTGCGCTTGCGCAGGCGTGCACTCCGACGCCGCGCCTGCGAAACATTTCTTACATAAGTACAAATGATTTTGTCATCGAGACGTTTGGGGATTATCGATTGCATTTTGCATCGGATTGTCTGAACGTTAAAAGTCGACCTCTCGATCGCGCAATATTAACGCAATAGCTTATACCAACCGTAAAAGATTGCTTAAGAATTATCTTATTTCTTTATTTGAAATTAATGTTAATTTTATTGCATGTAGATACTTAATTTACATATTAATTGGATCTTTTTACGTGAATATGTATTTATGTTTTTATTCAAAATTATATTTTGGATTTTATCTACATTTCGAGACATCGTCAGTGATTAGTCACTAGACACACACAAAACATGAAAACTCTTTTGAACACAGATAAAAAAATAAATGATTTTTTATTCAATAAAATAGTTTCGATATCGAGATAAAATTGCTATTAGTAACGATTAGGCGCGTCAAGATATTTTTATATAATCGTGTCACAATGTTAGTTACCATAATACTCCGAAACGGATTGACCGATTATTATGACATTTTATATGCATATTCAGTAGGTCTGAGAATCGGTTACTATCTATTTTTTACTATTTAACGATCAATTTTTTTCATAAAAAAAAAATAGAAAGGGATGGGAAGTATATGTTGTCGATATGGCTAATAAAACAAATATTATTTATATATATAATAGTACTACCTTTATCAAACATATTATACAATACGGAAGCCCTATCACTGAACGAGAATGTAGATATCAACGTAACTCAAATTCTTCTCAACAAGTTGGTATAAACCAACACGACTTACACTTTAAGTGCCATTTCCACTAGACTACACGAATAAAGTACATATGTACGTTTCCACTGCTGGAACATTTAAAAAAAAATAATTAGCCCATGTGTTGTTCCAGACTATGCTTTATATCTATGCCTTACACCAAGATCTCTTGAGCCTTGGAGATACCTTGTAACAAACATCCATCCGTCCATCTATCCATCCGTGTAAACTTTTTCAATTATAACATATGTGAGACTATGTTTTAGTTCGGTAAGTTATTTTTTTTTAACAAACTTAAAGCCAACATAGTTAACTTTACCTATAAAATTAATGTTATTAGGCTTTGTTACTTGTTTTATCGTTGGTTTCAACGACCAAAATCTGTGAAAACATTTCGTCATCCCTGTCATCAATGTTTTATAAACGGGGATTTTGATCTCAAAAACCCACGATTAGTCAAATTGCTAGTATATTTTTAGTTTATTTATTCGTCATATCCATTGTGTTTGACAAATATTTCTTTAAAATACCAAAACAAATCGTTACGACAAAACATTGTAATTACGTATTTATTGTTTGAATGACGTAACAATTGCACATTCACTACCGCACTATCGTGAGAATTTCTTACACTTTACTAAACGTAACTTGCTTGTGAGATAAAATTAACCAATCCAACGAAAAGAGATACATATATCCTAAGATCCCTTTAAAGATGTAACCTATTTTATTAAATCGCGACTGTTACTTGAATATCTTATATATAAAATTCTCGTGTCACAATTTTGTGAGCATATTGAGTAGGTCTAAGAATCGGTCAACATCTATTTTTCATCCCCCTAAATGTTAAAAGTAGTATCTAATTTTTTTTTAATTTTTGGATGGATGGATGGATGTTTTTTTAAAGGTATCTGCAGAACGGCTGCATAGATCTCGCTGGAAATCACCATAGATGTAGAGCATAGTCTGGAAGACTGGACACATAGACTACTAATTAAGTTTTTAATTCCGCCGGACGGAGTCGCGTGCGACAGCTAGTTAACAATAAATCTTGTTTCATACAAATCATCACTTGTGGCATTTTAAATAATCTTTAATAGACTTAAGTCCACTTAGTGATTGATTTAATTATAAGAAATACACTTAGCATCGATCTCTACTTAAGAAACCCTATTACTGAGGCCGTCAATTACTTGATTGACTTCTTAATGTTTTCCTGAACGTATCTTGAAGCACGCGGAAGCCTTTATTCCGAGATAGGGTGTGGTAAGGAACTTGTATGCAATCGAATGTTCTAGATTTCAAACGTATACATGTGTCTATCGTACACGAACTTCCTCGTAAAAAAATCTTCAGCGTCATTAATTAGAAATATAGGAATTTCGCAATGCCTTCCATTTCATAGTGTCTTTTTGCGTCTTCCCCATATATATTATCTCCAGACCTAGATGGGGGACTACCTAACGTATAGGGGAACCCATACGAAGACTTGTCCCTATCAAATCAAACTACAATATATGTTGTTATATATTAATTTCAAAGATTTACTAATATTCACAAATACAGGACTCTGTCTTATATTATAAATCTGAATGTTTGGATGGATGGATGGTAGAAAGTATCTTCAGAACGGCTGCATGGATCTCAATGAAATTTGGTAAAGGTGCAGGGATCTCGGTGAAATTTGGTAAACATGTAACACAGTCTGGAAGAACACAGGCCACTAGGATTTGAGATAAGAGTAGCGGTTCAACGTAGCGAAATTTAGCACTGATATGGAACAAAGTCTGGAGTAACAAATGTGGTACATTTCGTCCTATTTTATTGTGCGCAAACGACGTCGCAAGAAAAGGCTAATATAACTTCCTATTACAAATTTACTGGATGACGAACTGGATGTTCGTGACTGATAAATTAGCTCCAAATCGCTATGACAGTGTTAACGAGTTGGATATATTGAATCACGCTGTCACGAGTGGATTTTGGCATGTGCTGTTAAAACTGTATTTTCATAACATTTTTCAGCTCCCGCTTTAATTAAAAACATCTCAGTGCTCATTATCTCATTGTTTCACCGCAAGTCCAATCGCGCAAAATTAAAAAAAAAAACTTAATTAGTCTATGTGTTCTTCCAGTCTATGTTCTACATCTATGTCAAATTTCATGTCGCTATATATTAGTAAGATTAGATCGAAACATTCTCGGGTACCTCATAAGTAACTTGAGCAGAGAAGTGATAAAGAAATGTTATAAGAAAGATGGGTAGAGGTATATAACAATATCACCTCCTTGGTTACTGTTCATGGGAATGTTAGAATGTCCATAGACCCTTGTGAGATCGTATGAGGGTCAAACGGTCATGTTTCCACACAGAAGCTTGTAGCGGGCGACGTGCTACTTTCACTGCGGCCCACATAGCGCGGCCCGCTTGCGTCAACCATTCCAATCATTATGTCATACACGGCATTGTGAAGGACGAATTTATATATAAACAGAAATATTGACTTTTAATTGATTGATATTGACCGGTACATGGTATACATATACTAGTTGTCGCCCGCGACTCCGTCCGCGTGGAATGAAACAAAAACTTTAGTAGCCTATGTGTTCTTCCAGACTATGTTCTATTTATACTAAACTTCGTCGAGATCCATTTGGCCGTTCTGGAGATAACTTCAAACACCAAACCAAAACGGGACCTAGCCTAAAGGGACTCCTTTAAATAACATATTTTAGTGAATTATTCGGTTTTTTTTAAATATTTTATTTTATATTATAGATTTACGACTATATGTCATTATAGAAATAAGCATGTATAATAAATTGATTCCATCAAAGAAAAAAAAAACTTCAAACAAACATCCACCAATCCAAATATTCGCAATTATAATATTAGTAAGAAGTGAAATTTGTAAATAAAAAAAAAGCTGAATATTTATGCAAAAAGAATCATATCGGCAACGGAAAGCGAACTATTTTCCAAGATAAAATATAGCTTATGCGCTAATTGAGTTTAATGTTGAAATTCCTATCTTTTCCTACATTTTGATTTCCTACAGAAGCGTCAATAGCCTAATGGTTAAGGGTACGGATTTCCGATCACGAGGCCGAGGGTTCGAATCCCGCCATTCGAATATTGTCGTAAACCATATCCTAGCACAAGCGTACAGCTTAGTTGGAATGGTAAAAGAAATATTAGTAAATTTACAAAAAAAAAATCAGCTAATATTTTATTAAATAAAAAAAAAATTTATACCGGTTAATACAATTTTTAAGCACGAAATGATTATTCATTAAGAAAGATGAATTTCCAAAAAAAAACCTACGAGTCAGTAATAAAGATAAAATTAGTAAATAAGGTCATTAAATACAAACGTAATAATTTTATTAAGATCACTAGGTTATAAACAGATTACGTAACAATTCAATGCTTAATTTTGTTTGCAATCAAGCAATTTACATATATAAAAATTATATCGTTCTTTCCGTACGTTTTACGTTAAATTATTTAAATATATTGACATTCATTGGACACTCTTATGTGTCCAATTAAATAATTATGCAAATACTACAACTATTACAAAACATTTGTGTTTTTAAATTTTATAAAATGGGTTTCCGCCCTCTTTACGTCACATAATCTTAATAATATTATAAATGCGAATGTTTGAATGGATGGATGTTTATTTGAACGTTACTCCGGAACGACTGAATGGATCTCGCTGAAATTTGGCACAGATGTAAAACATATTCTGGAGGAACACATAGGCTACTAATTAAGTTTTTTAATTCGGCACGAACAGAGTCGCGGGCGACAGCTAGTATTCCTATAAGACAATTGGTAAGCACAAGTGTATTATAATACATCTATAAGGAAGAAGTAAAATAATCAAGTCATTCGAATTAACCGATTAATTGATCTTGGCCGTACAAGGACCCATGTTTGCAGTCTCTACTAAAATCCAGCATTCTTTTTATAAGAGAAGGTGGCCAACGAGAAGCGGGAGCACCGAGGTGATCAACGACACCCATGGACATCTGAAACACCAGCGGAACTGCAGATGCGTTGCCGGCCTTTAAGGAAATGGTATTCTCGCTTCTTGAAGGTCCCTAAATCGTATTTGTTTAGTTTCGTATTGCCTTAAGCAATCCGTATATGTGGCAGCAAAGCTGTTTTAAACTAGAAAGTTGGGACATCTTAGTGTTTGATCATGAAAACTTACCATCGTTGTTAAGGGTCGCATCTTCGCGGTTGCCCACTGTCAGTACCATGGCTGGAAGTGCGCAAGCTTCATCACTGCAAAAGAATTTTATTAGATTAAAATATAATCATCATCTCGCTGTCCTTATCTCATTATGCGTCAGCGCATTTTTTCGTCCTCCAAAACGATATTTCACCTTCCACGCAATCCTTTCCTTCCGAGACCTACTATAGTCTTTTTCAAATATCTTAGCGGTCCAAGGTCATGCTGCGCAATGCCTTCTTGCAGCGACTCGTGCGAAATTAAGAGCCGACAAGATATTTGAAAACTACTATACTACCTATGGTATTATATAATACAATAAAATATTTTTGTCATCGACGAACGTAAATGGCCTTAGTTTGTAATATGTCTAGGTAAATTATCATTGCATATCGGAATCACTCGCAGAAACCTGTGATATTTACCGTTGGTATCTAAGACCAAAAATTAAAAAAACATATCGTCATCCCTGTCATTTTCTTTGACAAAACAGAGATAAAAGTATTTTTAAAAGGAGATTATAAAGCCCTCATTAACTATTTCGGTTTCGCGTCGTGGTTAACATTTCTGCATTATTCACAGAGGTCGTGAGATTCGATTCTAAGCAAAAACTAGGTGTAGTCAACAGAGCGAGGTAGAAAGCAATTTGATAGATTGCGAATTCAATAATTAGAACTGCGCTGCACTGCTAAGTTAGGCAATTATTTGGAGGCAGCCGTGCGCGCCGTGTAGTACGCGTAACTACAACTATACGGAATTAATAAATCAATTCCAGCTTGATTCCTTCACGCGTTTTCGAGAAAAATTATCCAGACGGACGGACAACAACGTGATAAGGGTTCCGTTCTTTTTCCTTTGAGGTACGGAACCCTAAAAAGTACTAAAGATTCCAGAAAATGCCTCACAAGTTTAAAATTGCATATCTAGAAGAGGTAGGACGTAAACTGAACTAGGGACTTTAAAATTTAGTGTTCCGTCAAATATTCCGCTTTCCAAAAGGGTTCTATATTTAAAAAAGTTTGAGAACCCCTGATCTATAGGATAACGTTCGTCCTAATTAAAATTATAATCAAACGAATTACTCTAATTAGAATCGATAATAACCATAGTTAATTAATTAAAGATCGCGTTATAAGCACCCATTTATAACAGTTTACAATTTATTACTAACTAGCTGTCGCCCGCGACTCCGTCCGTGTAGATATATAAAAAAACTTAATTAGTGTAGCCCACCTATCCATCCATCCACATCACATCTATCTAAACATTCGCATTTATAATATTAGTAAGTTAAATAAAAAGCAACTCTTGAAGGCATAAATTCGAAAAAAAAAGAATAAATAGTATCCTATGTCCGTCTCTTAGCTCTAAGCTACCTCCTCACCAATTTTCAGCCACCGTTCTTGGGTTATAGATGGTGTAACTAACACGACTTTCTTTTATATATATAGATTAGGTTAGGCGAAACAAATGAAAATAGAATTTCGTGTACGCAGCGTTAATTAATTAGGTCATATGAAAAGCGTATAAAAATAACGAAATTGTACTAATTAAGAACTTATTTAAACATTGTTTACGAAATTATTTGTGCACTTGGTTCCAAATTACCAACCCATAGATATTAGCAACTAAATTTTCTTTTCTTATCTCTTGTCTCTTCCACAATCCTTATGAGTAAGTGGGAAGGGGAAGAGAAGTCAGATGAAACCTTTCACAATAACTATGTTTATGTATAACTTCTGTAAACTGTCACACCCAGAGTACTTTAATGTTCACTTAAAGCAATATTTAGTGTAGTCACTAGTGTGACATCCATATAAATGACACCTTAAGTATAATTAAACGACTCTGTACAGCAGTTAGTTTATGTATAATGTATCACTCAGGGACAACTTAATGTTTACCTTAAGATGCGATCTTTATAGCAGACGACGGTGCGACGCTCGTCACTAACTCCGATGGAGAAGGTGGCGAGGTCGGGATGCGCGAGCCTCTCCACGCAGCGGTGGATCAGGAACCGACGGTAGTTGCTCACCGGAGGGAACACCAGCACGCTAAGACAATAAACACTTGACTTCATAGCTGTGAGTTACCATTTTCAACACCGGAATAAATTTCTTGTCATTTGCTTAATCTCTTTGTACAGTGAGCTGTATCGATATGTGTAGATTTATAAAACTTCAGAAAATTGATTCCAAAAATTTTTTTTAGGGTATTCGTCTATATGGTTTTAACCATAAATAAAAGCTACTGATTAATACTCACATACATATTTTTAAAAACAAAGGCCTGCACTAGTTTTTAAAATTAAATAAATGTATACATATTTATACAGCTGACTGTACTAAAATTAATTTTATACAACTGTTGTGAAAATTTTAAAGTAACATCATCAGTGAAGCGCTGCTACAAATACAAAAACTTTTATACTGAACCATCAAATTTAACTGTGTTATAGACACATAATATAGTAAAAATCAGATATAACATTAAAGAGCCTGCAATATTTAACCCATGTTAACTTATATATATATATATCTCTTAGATATTTGTTTTAGACAATTTATACAGTATTTGATATCCATTCTAACATAAAACATCTGTTTTATCATTATTCTAGTTTTTAAAATTTTAATCAATATTAAAAGATATGTAACATAACTAATTGAAAGGAAGTTCTCTAAATGTACAACAAAATATTATGTTTTCAACATTTTTATGGTAACTTTTCTTTGAATGTGCTGATTTGTGTTATGAAATTGGAACAGGTATTTATAAATAGAATTAAGATCGTCATAAAATGTTTGTATTTAAAGACATCTGACTCAACCAACTGAGTATTACTTGCTAAAATTACTTATCTGTCTCACCTTCACAATATTAAAAAAAAATTGCATATTAATAATTTCTTGCACCTGCGACCTAATTAAAAACACTACATAAAAAAAATTTACCAGGCCTACTAGATATTAGAAAAGATGTGCACTTAACTATTTTGATATGTAAACAGTGAGTGCTGCAAATTTATTTCTACATGTGCGAAATATTTAATTAAAGTAACGGTTTTATCGTCGCAGTTATCGCATATAATGTTCAAAATAACAAGCAATGAGGGCATCGCCCCGGACTTGCAGGTGACGCTAGTTTTTTCTTACGTTCGTGAATAACCATTAACAACCAAGGCGGCCCAGTGATTCGCTCCATTTGATCACATCCTACGTCCGGAAAGCGGTCGACATTATAACCTTGAAACTATACAAGAATATATTACGATATCGCGCAGACTTTAGCACGCTTTCTGCCCAAACCTGCAGAGTTTCACAACACAAAAATATAACGCACCGACTGGAAATGCGATAATTTATTGAATATTGTTTACCTGTCAACTTTTTTCTCTGATATAAAACATTTCAGGTCGTCGTTGACATCTTCGACGAAGCTATCGTCCGCCAAGTTAAAAAACCTTTCCACCGTTTTGGCACCCAGTTTGACGGCGAACAGTTTGTTTTTAATTAAAAAAATAAAATAGAATTTTTATAATCACGTGTAGCGGGGAACTATCCGCGGACCATTTTCATTTTTTCAGCAAGGACGGCACCGCACCACCTGCATAACACCGCAACGCACACACAAACAAACCGTACCACAGATAAAATATGGCGCGCACGCGATTAGTGATGGGTTAAACTAGACGTAATTTACAAACGTTATAACTTGTGTTATTTTTTAAAATACAAGTGGTTATTATATTTTAATGTTATTAGGGTTTCCAAACTACAAATATGAATACGTGAATAAATAATTTTCTTGTTGGAATAATTAAAATAATCTTAAACATTGGCTATGCGCATTTAAATAATTCTAATATGAAATAACGCGAAAACATAACGAGCTATAGCAGTACATATTATTTCATGTCAACGTTGTGCGATAAATAGCCGATTCCGTTATGAAGTAACAAAGTTCATAATTTAAATCCTTATTAAAAAAACACTTTCCGTGAGCTATTTAAAAATTTGTAAGTCTAGGCCTTAACAGAAGACCCAATGACCTGTATACTTAAATGGTTAATTTCAATAGCGACGAAGTTAAAACAAATTACAAAGTACCAAGGGATGAAAATAAAAGTAGTTGAGTGTTGAAATAATATATTTTCCTTATATTTTAAGTATTAAATAATCTTTAGCATACATTATGCGTTATTCAATTAAACTATAATGAAATTAACTAAATTATAATTAAATTACAAAATATAGTGCAGTGGATCAAATTAATATAATGGTAATTCAACAAAAAACAATATTAACAAAGTAAACAACTAAAAAACAATACAATGTCCGGATTAAAAAAAAGTCGAACATATTTTACTACAGACAAATAAAATATTTTTCTTACATAAAGTACTCGGCTGCATAAAAATATTTCATTCATAAAATAATAATTAATTTCACAGATTGCACATACAATTGTAGATTATATGTACATATATGATATATGCCAAAAAAAAATTACATATAGAAAATGTCCGGGAATTAAATTGACAAACATATTATTGGACATGGTATTTTGGACGAAAATTGACTATTATTAAATTATATATTTAACTAAAATATACATGAAACGAAATATAATATTCGATTAAAACATTTTATTATCTAAATGTATAAAAATTTTCATCACTTTTGGTGATAATTAAATACTAGTACAAAATGGTATCCATATTTAGGGCATTCCATACCCTCTTATATGTTATAATGCGATTTTAAAATCCATGGACCATGGATTGACGACACCAATGGACCATGACTCGCTTAAAGAGTTTTCTAGCTTATCCAGATTCAACTATACATGTAAATAATTGAAAGTAATAAGAGCATATATTTCCCATTTACTCATTTACAGATACAGTGCCCAGTTTAAGATACCATGATGATCGCTACCCTCCAACAGGAGATGGCTGACTAAGGATTTAAAGTAAATAAGTTTTAATTCAATTGTACTGCCTAATAGTTTGTTCATGTAAATAATTTCTAGATTATTACAGATTTTGATATTACAATATTTTTATGTGATATATAACTTAATAGGACACAAACAAATTGATTTTCATACATCTCTTTAGTAAACAATTACCACAGTATAAATAAATAGGCGCTTTAACATGTTACTGTATATCATATTGTAGTTGTTTCCTGTTGGACCGTTAGACTCAATCAAAAGGTCCAATGGTAAAAATGTTGGATTCTTTGATCTTAATTGGTATAATCAAGGAAACCTAGTGTATAATTAAAATCGCATTTAACATAATATTGTCGTAACTAATGCATATTTACAAGTCTATCTTAGGTCGATACTGCAGCCGTAGCGGGGGGTCGCGGAACCGCCAGCGCGTTACATACACAAACTTCAGCGTGTGATCTTTGCCCAGTAACTCATCATTGCAGAGTATGTCAATCTGAAATATTCAATATTCAATCTTACTAATAATCTAAATACGAAAATTTACATGGATGGATGTTTGTAGGCATCACCAGAATGACTAAACGGATCTCTATGAGATTTGGCATGGATGTAGATCAGTCTGTCAGAACACATAGGCTACTAATAAAGGTTTTTGTTACTTCCTCCGACGGAGTCGCGGGTAAAAGCTAGTTAGCTAACCTTAGTTTATAATATCTGTTTAATCTTTATAGAAGCAGGAAGTTCCAGGAAAGTGCAAGCACCAAAGCACGACTGTCATTATCAGTATATGACAAAAGGTAATAACTCAATACATAGGCAATGCAATTGAGGATAATAGATATCCTCATCAGTCCTACGCTATTTTAATGAATTCAGGTGTTCGCTTGCAAACTTATCTTAACAAAAGGTAAACCTTATCTGCTTATGCTTGTTATTTATAAAAAAAATGATTGAGTGAGTGAATTATAGGCAATTTGAAAATTTAGGAGATTAGTAGTAGAAATTATAATAGTCTCTTTATAGGCATATGAGATTGTGTCAGTGACTTCTTGTTATTTATATAGGATATAGTTATACATACTTCTCTATACTTCTCAATTCCACTCAGCACTTTCTTAGCTATAAACTTCTTGAGATGTGTTATAGTCGCCTGTGCTGAACATCTGATGAAGCTGCGCTTTAATGTACGCAGAGATGTTGATATGCACTCCAAGCAAACATTCACCTGAAAAAAAAAATAGTTGAGACATTAAGCCACATACACATGCCACTAACTGGCACATGAGCATGCAAGTTACTTGCACTTGTTAGCTATGGGTTACCATAATATCATACAGGAACTGTACATATTTCCGGAATCATAGCGAGCCTATGTGTTTTTGCAGACTATGTTCTACATGTGTACTTAATTTCATCAAAATCCATAGTCATTCCAGAGATTCCTTGTAACAAACATCCATCCAAACATTTGCATTTATAATATTAATAGAATTAAGTATTTACTTATTTACTAGTTGTAGCCCTCAACTTATTCCATGCAGAATAAGAAAAATCTTAATTAGTAGCCTATGTATGCCATGTTTCATCGAAATCCATGCAGCCATTATAGAGCTACCTTCTAACAAACATCCATTGATCCTTCCAAACATTTAAATTTATAATATTAGTAAGATTACCTGTTCATCTTTCCTATGACAGTCAGTGTTATCAGGTTGTTCAGGCTCATCACCAGCTCCAGGTTTGTCTGCTGCAAGCGCTGCATCCTTTGGACACGGCAGCCCCTTCGCTCTGTAGAAATCTCTCTCACGTTTTATTTCATCTGGAATTCATAATATCAATTTTATAATTGATATCTTATGATATTATCAGCACAATCATCACAAGGTGGTGCATATATAGGAAGATGTTTAATGGTTTGTGCTAGGTTCACACCAAATGTTATTTCAAAGTCAGAATCTCACTTTTCCCTCAAATTTACTGCTGTGTAAAAGAGCTCATGATATAAGCTCGTAAAACAATAATATTTTGCTCATGTTTTATTTATATATCCCCGGTTATAACCAGGATAGTGAACTAATGGCACAATTATTTAGACAATTCACTAATTGCAAAATTCAATATGTACTTCTTAAGCAAATGTAATTAAGGTGAGTAAATGTAAGTGTAAACATTATGAGGAATGAATGGGAGTTATCCCCATGCTACAGAATGTTCCCAATAATCGTAAAGTCAAAATTATTTGATGGTACAAGTATGACCACAAAAAATATTTTTTTAAGAATAATGGTGTGTTGATAAGTAAAGGTTCGATGTGTGATTTATAATAAGAAATGTAATTTAATAAATAAAAAAATTTGAACTCACTGTCCTGTAAATCGGGCACTAATTTATAAACAATATCCTGCATGGTCCTATCAAAGCTTATGTACTGCAGAGGATGGGACTGGTGGATCACAATGTTGCATGTTGGACATGTGTTATTTTCTTCCAAGTGCTTCACCAGACAACTCTTACAGACTGGAACGTGAAAAAAGTTATTTTAATAACCATTAAAATCTATTTCATGCTTAATATAATATTAAAGTTTTTAAATTTGATTAAGTTTGAAATTATGTAAATATTTATGATAGACTTTTCATTTTGGCCAAATATTCTAGAGACATCTAAGTAAATACAGAGATTAAAATAATAATGAGCACTACATTCCGTGAGCAATTTGTTTTCAATGCAGCCTAAAGGCAAGAAGTTTAAACAATAATTAAAGTAGGATTCTTAGAAATTATTATATTTTCTGAACCAGTGAATGTTACTCTATATTAAATTGATATAATAGTGAAGAATACTTTATTAAATAATAAATTATAAAAATACTAACACGTATGAAGACACTCGGTAACCGTAGTCGCGTCGATGAAGTATCCGCGGCAAATTTTACATGTGATGTGACTATTGAGTGTTTTTAACTTAATCCTCCTTTCCATTGTCATCCTAATTTTATTAATTTGCTAACATTATGAGTAATTAACTTAAAAATAAGGAAAACAAAAAACTAGAACTAAAACTTCTTATAGATGACAATGCCAAGCCAGTCTAAGAGTATGCAATTAAACCTGCAGTGAACATCAAAGAGTAGAGATAAATATTAAAAACGGATTTGGTTACTTTTGTAATCTGTCCACAAAGCCAGTAAGGAAGTTTTTTTTTCATTATTTTAAAAGAACTATTTTGTTGTATCTATTAAATTATTTGATATAGTTACTTATTAAAATACTATTACGATTCATTACGAATTTGTATTGTTTGGTAAATATGTTTTCAAAATAGTTGTAATTGCGGCAGTGGGCAACAAGTGGTAAATGGCCTTAAGATTGTTAAGAAAAAACTTCAAAAACTCGATGCAAAACATTTATTTTCAAAAAAAACCTTGACTTAAATACTAACGCTACACTACACGCATTTTTAAATAAATAAAATAAATATGACGTTCATAAATGAATGCATTAGATTTTAACAAAGAAAAAGTTTTATGGTAGCAAAAATGCAGTGAATTTAAATAAATAGAGAAAGCTAGTTTGATTTGGTAAAATTTTATAAAACTATAACATATTAAAGAGATTAATATGTGTATGGTGGATTTTTTGTATTTTGAAAGCGTATTTGGTTCTGAAATGGATCGCTTGTAAATTGTACTTCTGAATTAAAAAAATAATAAAATTATTTTAATAAACGTCTATATGTCAACACTATGACCCTTCACATTTGACATTTTCATTTGGCGCCATTTGCTGATTAAATACGTCGAAAGTTGGTTTATTTGTTTCAGGCATAACAATTAATTTATAATAATTAGATGATGGCACGGGTATTTGTTTTGCATGATCACGCTTAAAATGTCTCCCTAAATGACTGGATTGCGAAAATTTTCTATCGCATATTTTGCATTTGTAGTTCTTTTCTCCCGTATGAACGACTTTATGTTGTTTTAATGCCGAAGACGTGTAAAATGTTTTACCGCACTCGCAATGATAATCTCTTTGACCTTTGTGTCTCTTTAAATGTACATTGTAAGCACTGCACGTGACAAAACCTCGTTGACATTCTTTACATTTGTATCTGAAAACAAGCAATAACATTATTATTTAAATGTATGATTAAATCATGATTTTTTATCATAAACTGGCAACATCCGCAATTGCAGATGCATTGTCTACCTTTAATCAACGGAGGAGGGGTTACACAGAAAGAGAATATTTTCCCTTCCCATGCATCATTCGAAAAATCCACTTCCACTTCCCATCTATTACTTATAAGAAAAAGGGTGGGAAGGGAAAAAGGACTAAGATTAGGCCTCCGGGACGCACATTCATTAGACGAAACGCGGAATTGCTTCCACTTGACGCCTGTCTTCTGTGTAGTTGTGGTATTGCACCGGGCAAACTGGCCAATTCGTGCAAAATGTTAGAGTGGGATCTACCACTGTTAATTTAATGGCTCAGTTGCCTGTCAGTTAAACTTAGATGGCAGGTGTCACTTTTACCGTTCAAAGTTCAATTCTCAAAAGTTACACAACCAATATTTCTATTACCTTACTTCCTTGTTATGAATCCTAACATGTATTGACAGATTGCCCGAAGTAGCGAATGTTTTCTCACACATATGACAAGAATATGGCTTTTCACCATTATGTATCCTTTGATGTACTTTCAAATCAGCTTTAATTGGAAAACCTAAAAAGAAATCACAAACTTACTTTATTGATAACTAGATGGCGCCACAAGATAATACAGAACATGCTATGTTAGACAGTTGACCAATTGTTTATTCAATGTTTGTGTTAAATTTAACTCTTATTAAATACCTTTCCCACAGTCCTGACATAGATATGGTTTGTCACCTTTGTGCCTTTTCATATGTATAGATAACTGTGCGCTTTGGACAAAACTCTTGAAGCATATATCACAGCTGTACAGTTTTTCACCTAAAAGTAAAAATAAATGTATTTTAATTAATATATTTAAAAGTCACCAGCCTTACCTTAATACTGATAACAAGAAATTACTTCCATTACACACACGTATTCTGTATGGTCTTGGGATTCCACCAGGTAAACAGGGTTTTTCATGCAGCAGCTAATGCTGCTGTGGAACTAACTACTGTCCATAATTAAAATACAATTTGACTTGGATAAGCGAGAACCAATGGGCGACCTCCATCATCAGGAAACTTGGGTTAGACATAAGAATATTGTGGTTCCTCGGACAATACAGACTTTGAATTTTATGTTGTAGTAAAAGTGTGTATCATATAGTGAATTTTGTAAATTCTTAGACAGATCGTTTTCATCAGCTCACTACATGTCCCCACTGAGGGGTTCGAAGCCTACCTTAAGTTAAGGGTGACTAGGCCTTAGTCAACCACGCTGACCAAGTGCGGATTGGTTGACTTCACACATATCTTTCAATTGCTTCTCAGATATGTGCAGGATGCATCACAATGTCATCGGATAAATGTACATATGTAAATCGGAAATCGAAAAACACATTGGTACATGGTGGGATTCGAACCCCGGACCTGCGGATTGCAAGTTAAGGGTTGAAACCCTTGAACCACCGACGCTCTTAGACTTCTTAGACAGATAGAGATCTTAAGCCTCATACAGACCTGTGTGCATACGTATATGATTAACAAGACCAGTGCGTCGACTGAACTTCTTTGGACAATATTCACAGTGGTACGGAGTCTCTCCTGTGTGGAGTTTCTTGTGTTGATTCAGTGTGCTGTGACCTCTACAATAAAATAAACAATTATAAACCCTAAAATCATAGAAATAAGCATAGAAAAGAAAATAGCTTGCGCTATTTGCTATCTCAGAAACCAACACTAAATGTTCCTTCAGTCATTTTACAATTTAGTGTAAGAAATATCTTAATGTTTTCACTCTTACCTAAATGCTGATGGACATTTGTCACATTTATAAGGCCGCAAATCGCTGTGACATATTTTGTGCGCTTTTAGGTTACTCTTTGTACTTAGGAATTTGCCACAAACTTCACACTGATGTGGTAACTTGCTCTCTGGTACATGTCTCTCATCTGTTATAGTTTCATTATCTGCATCTAGGAAAAAAAATTACAAGGTGATAAAAAAAAATTCTAATAAGTGTCCCAAACTAATTAGAATATTAATATTATCTTTTTTCTTTAATACTTACTTCTCTTTCTTTTTCCTTTTTTCTTTTTAGGTTGATCATCACCATTCAAATCATCTGTAGAATAAAATACTTAATTAAAAATTAAATTATCAGTATATCCAATATTAAATAAATTCTATATTTTATGGAATAATAGCCCATGACTCCGTCCTCATGGAATTAAAAAAAACTTAACAAGTCACCTATGTGTTCTTCTTGATTATGTTCTTCATCTATGTGACATTTCAGCCATTCTGGAGATTCCTTCAAACAACCATCTATCCATCCACATAAACATTCACATTTATAATATTAGTTAGATTTAAAAAAGTACCTATAGATTCTCTTTTAGACTTGATTTCTTTGAGGAGTAAATTATCATCATCAGCATCCCAACAACTGTCTTCATCTTCTATTTTGTACTCTGGTTCTGGAAAGCAAAAATTTAGGAATACAGTATCTGAAAGTGTGATTTGAAGAACCAATCATTCTTGTATAGTTACTTTTGATTTTGTTAGAACTAAAAAAGAATGCCTAAGGCAGTTTGTGCATGTTCAATAAGAAAGCTGTTCAACAATACCACAATTTTTTTTACCAAGTTTAATTCCATCATCTGATTTAATCAGATCTTCAACAGGTTTGACTGTATTTTGTAATCCGCTTACAACATCACCATTAATAATCTTCTCATTAAAATCTTCAACCTTGATACTACAGTCGCCAGTGACTTCTTTCCATCCATTTATAATTTGTTTATGACTCAAATGAGATCTTAATTTTTTATCACTTTCTTCGCATTGTATATTGAATGTATATGCGCGTTTAAGCTGTCTAGTACAGTCTTTGCAGATTAACTTGGGTAATCCATCATCTTTACTTGGCTACAAAAAAATATTAAAAATAAAGGCACACATAAGACTAATCGTAAGAAGATGTAAAATCATATGATAAGGTTGTAGTAATTTTATACGAACATTAAGTTTTGTACAATTTAAAAGCATTTCCACGTATAGAGTATTCGTTTTAACATAAATATTAGTGTAAATGTCGTATTTTTCTTTTTGGTCGGATTCGAGGCAAATACGACATATTTTATCAAAATCCATATTTTTGTTTGTTAAATAATTTAGTCGCTTGCAGTTTTTGTATAAATCACATTATATCATAAACACTATCGGCCTTATACATCAGCATTCAAAAACTGTAAATAATAATATCATTTATACAATTTACTGTTTTTGTTTGACATATTTATTTTCGACCTCTTTTGATTTTGAGTGACGTTTCGGCTTTTTTTTTAAATTGGCTGCGTCTCATTTAAAGCATTGCACTCATACAAACATCCATTGAAAAATATTATCTTTGAACGTTTATAACCTTGAAAAGGAAAGAATGTCAAGGTTTTCATACTTTTTACACAACGTTACTAAATTCACTGCTGAGACTCAACTGAATACCAAAAATAAATCAATATAAATTTTTCGAAACAAAAATTTTTCTAACACCACGGTTTGACACTGACAAAAAATACGGAAATGTCAAGTGACAACCAAGAAAACAAAATGTCGGTGTGTTGTTGTGGTCAGGAATTCGTATCTCGTATAGTCTAATTCAAAGCATATTTAACATTTGGTAATAAAACATTAATAACCGTATGAAACTATATCAGGTTTGAACAATGTCCTCACTACAAAAATCTATCATGAAGAGTAAATTGCCGCCCCGTGTGCCCAGATCATCGGGGATTGCAAAGTGAGTTTCACTCACTTAACATATATTTAATATTTTATTGTTATATCGTCACAAAGCTCCTGAAGTATTTGCATGCCGAATGGAAATGCCACATTTACGTTGACTATTATTTTATCAGGTTAGCTCCGTTTGGATCTTCTCGCCGTAAAGATTACTCGCCTGTTTCATGGAAGCAATACTTCGAACGTTGCGTAGATGTAGAAACAGAGGCGGGCACCTTCAGAGTATACCTGTCGCCTGAACCTGACCATCCATCACGGCCGAGGATATTTACCTTACACGGTGGTGGATACTCTGGTCTCAGCTGGTCTTTGTTTACTGTAAGTATATTTTTACGTAAAAATACAAATATATTAGTTTTAATTGTAATACTTCCAGTGCAGTGCAGGTCATATAGGTCTTTCATTCTGTACTAAAATGGTGACTAGACTTATAAGAATCATAATCCTGCCCTTGTCTCTCCAGAGGTTTGGCACAGTATGTACCACATTCCCATGAATCAGCCGTCTTATTTGAACTCCCTTTTGCATATCCTCTTTCACATATTCCACCCATACATTCTTCGGTCTTCTACCTTTGTAGCCATATTAAATCTCATTTGCTTTATTATTTAAATGATCATCATTATTTTGCATAACAGTTTTATAAAAATGGTAAAGAATCAATTATTTTATACTTAAAATTTACATGTAAATTTTTTTTTTGTTTTAGGAAGAGATAACAAACATGATCCACTGTCAAGTAGTATCAATGGATATAAGAGGACATGGTGAGACTAAAGTAAAGGATCCCGATGATTTGAGTATTGAAACATTAGTCAGGTTAGCATTACAAAGATGTAATTGTAATTTTTATTTATTATATGACACTTTGTCACACACAGGGTTTCTATTTTAGCATACTTCTAAGAATTTAATTAATACTCAGGATTAGTCTTTAACTATTTAAGAACTAGCCATTGCCCATGACTCCATTTTTGCAGTATATAAAAATCTTAATAAGTAACTTATGTGTTCTTCGAGACTTTGTTCTACATTTATGCCAAATTTCAGTCATTTTGGAGATACCATCACAACACAAATATCCATCCATCTATACATTTGAATTTATAATATTAGTAAGATAATATTAAAGTCTTTTTGTATGTACTGTTAGTTTATTTTTTACTTGTATATGGCAGTTCAGTATTTTAATTTGTAAATAAATATAGTTAACTAGCAGTTGCTCGCTTTCATAGCAACTAGAATGTGGAAATATATTAAAAGATATTACAATTTTACACCTGTTATTTTGTTGGACATCGGCCAGGCATTCTTAAGAGTGGCAACAAAATGTTTTAAAATAAGCACAAAATAGAAGAGTGTCAAATTATCAATATTCAACAACTTGTAATGGTTCAGTTGAACTGTAACTTTAAATTCTACTCTTAAAATATACTCTGAAAATAGTTCTCTGAAGTATATATTGGATTTTTAAAGCAAGAAAAATATAACTCACACCCATATTCTGGAGAGGTAGGCAGAGACCACTGACCTTCATTTCGTGCACTCTGGACACCAAAATTCTTTCTTGCTTCTATATTTATAAATTTATCCATAAATGCACTATTATAAAATATTAATCACTTAGCAAATGTTTGGATGTACGGGTGTTTGTTTGAAGTTATCTCGAGAATGACTGAACAGATCTCTATGAAATTTGGCATACATAGAGAACATAGTTTGGAAGAACACATAGGTTACTAATTATGTTTTTTTTTTAATTTCGCCCTGACGGAGTTGCAGGCGACAGCTTGTATTTAAATAATTCCATTTAAAAGTTTAACAAACTCTTTTTTTTTATAGGGATGTGGAACAAGTAATACAAAAACTGTATGATGAAGAGCCGCCCCCTATTATACTGCTGGGTCACTCAATGGGCGGGGCAATAGCAGTGAGAGCCGCTCATTCCCCTGTCATTGAGCACTACATACATGGAATTGCAGTTATTGATGTTGTTGAAGGTATGTTTGTATGTTTACACCACCAAAACACAGTTACAAAACATGTTCATCATTGGCTCACTATACATCCCCACTGAGGGACTCAGAGCCTACCCGAAGTTAGGGGTGACCAGGCCTTAGTTAATGCTGGTCCAGTGAGGCTTGACTGTACATACATCTTTTCTCAGATATGTGCAGCATCATAATGTTTTCCTTCACCATAGGAACATAGGATAAATGTACTTATGTAAATCAAATGTCAAAAACACATTGGTATTTGGCAAGGTTTGAACTCAAGACCTGCAGATTACAAGTCATGTACTTCACCCCCTGAGTCACCGATGTGCGATATTTTTAAATGTATCAAATTTTTGCTATTTTAATTAGGAAATTGTTTTTCCAGGCACAGCAATGGAGTCTTTGGCCAGTATGCAAGGTTTTCTGAGAGGCAGGCCGACACATTTTAAGAGCATTGAACATGCTATAGAGTGGTGGTATGTGTCATAGGATAATTCCAGCAAATTTCACAACAAAAGATACTTTAGTACTAAATTTTTTTTAAATTTATTTACAGCATCCGAAGTGGTCAAGTGAGGAATTTAGAATCTGCAAAAGTTTCAATGCCCAGTCAGATTTTGAAGTGAGTATTTTTGTTACTTACTTTACTAATGTTATAAAGGCGAATGTTTAGAACAAACTTCTTTTGTCTACTGCCCACTTTGAGAATAAATATTTTTTAGCGCTCCCATATTTTGACATATTTAAAAAGCACTATAACTCCAAATTAAATTAATTAATTATTGTGACCTATATATGTATATTAACGGAGAATTCTAAACAAAACTTTTACTATAACCCGCAACTTGAGACCTGCAGCGCCCACAAGGGCGCGTTATCGCCCACTTTGGGAAAGACTGGTTTAGATGGACGGTTGGACGGACGGATGGGTTGTTTGAAGATATCTCCGGAATGGTTCAACGGATCGTGCTAAAATTTGGCATAGATATAGAACATAGTCTGGAAGAACACATAGACTATTTATTTGTTTTTTTAAATCCCGCGCTGATGGAGTCGGGGGAAACAATTCGTATAAAATATAATTTTTTATACATACAGACACTTGAATATTATTAATTGTATAGTAGATATAGATAAATAGATAAAATCTGATTTTATATATAACTTTCTTTACAGCGTTCAAACTGGTAAATTAGCTATAAATGAAGTGGATACATACAAAAAAGAAGATAACCCTCGGGCACCGGAGCCCACACGTCACGGACCTCATGCTAATTGCATCACCGAGGAGAGTGATGAAGAAAGTGATACAAGCGAAGCCAGTGAAGCTAAACTAGCTAGGACTGACTCGGAGAGTGAAGACACAAAACTTACTAGAACTAATTCGACTAACTCGGAGAATGAAGATAATACAAAGTTGCCTAGACTGGACTCGACAAGTGATGATGCAGAAGCTAGTAATGCTAAGCTGGCTAGGTCAGATTCTACGGAGAAGGATCAAACTGGTACATTTGCTGTACCTAATGCTGTTGGTGATGGTGCTTCTATGAAGTAAGTTCTGTTTTATTTATTTATAGAGAATTGGCTGTCGCTTAATTAGTAGCCTATGTGTTCTTTCAGACTATGTTCTACATCTATGCCATATTTCAGCATGATGCAGCCGTTCTGGATATACCTTCTAACAAACATCCATCCATCCAAACATTGGAATTTATAATATTAGTAAGATATAAAAGAGATAAGGTTTATTAAATGTTCATTTTTCAATACAGAGAAATTTTTGTATGTGGAATCGATTATAAAGCGTTCTTAGATATCAAGAGAGTTATTTTTTTGCATTTCACATGAAAACACAAACATATCTTAAATATATTTAAATATCAAAGTTTTCATCATCATCAGCTCACTATACATCCCCACTGAGGGGCTCAGAGCCTACCCCAAGTTAGGGGTAACTAGGTCATAGTAAAGCTTTAACCACTTAAAATTAAAATAGACCAGGTTATTGTAATCTTCGATAATATTTATAACTGTTTTATCTTACTAATATTATAAATGCGAATACTTGGATGTATGTATGGATGTTTGTTAGAAGGTATCTCCGGAACGGCTCAACAGATCTTTATGAAATTTGGCATAGATGTAGAATATAGTTTGGAATTCATAGACTATTTATTATAAGTATTGGGTTTTTATAACCGGTTATTTCATATTTAATTTTCTGGTTTTTTTTTGTTTTTTTTTTCAGATACAAATGGCGTATCGAGTTGTCTCGCACAGAGAGTCACTGGGAGGGTTGGTTCGGAGGACTGTCCTCCGCCTTCCTGCACACCCGCGCGCCTCGTCTGCTGCTCCTCGCCTCTGTTGATGGACTGGACAGGGAACTGACTGTCGGACAGATGCAGGGTAATAAGCAGTTAACTTTGAACTATTGCTGGAAAAACTGACTTCAAATTGACTAAAGCCGTCGAATAATACGAAGTTCCTTTGGACAATTTATTCAGAGGTCGTCCATTATAAATGCTAATGTTTGGATGGATGGATGTTTGTTTGAATGTATCTCCGCATTGGCTCAACGGATTTCGCTGAAACTTGGCACACATATAGAAAAGTCTGGAAGAACACATAGACTAAATTAAGTTTTTTTATAATTTCGCCTGTACGGAGTCGCGGGAGAGAAATAGTAATTCATAATTAAAGTTTTTTTTTTTTTTATAAAAAAATAATCTACGTATTTAGTTTTGTGTTAGAATTTTACGTAGAAATTTTTCCATTTATTATATATTTGCAGGCAAATTCCAAATGCAAGTTCTGACAAGATGTGGTCATGCTGTACACGAGGACACGCCCGGAGAGGTCAGTTTTTATCATTCAAAAAGTTACATTTTCCTATACTTTGCAAATCAAATTTTAAATAGTTGTTACCGGTAACTTTCAACAATGGTAGAGCGAGCTTTAACATGTTCGCAGGAATTGTCCCGGCTCGTCCGGTGATATACCACCACCACACAGAAGTCTGATGAGTGTGCGTCCCGGAGGCCTAATTTAGTCCAGTTTTCCTTCCCACCTTTTTTCTTATAAGGAAAGGATGAGAAGTGGAAGTGGACTTTCCGGATGAGAGGATGCATAGAAAAGGAAAATATTATCTTTCTGTGCATCCTCTCCTCCGTCGATGAAAGGAAGGCATATGCAATTGCATATGTCTATGGGCAACGGTCACTTCGCTATTTCAGCTATTTCAGGTGGCCGCTCGCTCGTTTGCCACTTTATGATATAAAAAACCCATATGTGATATTATTTATATCCAGGTTGCAAGAGTGGTGGCATCTTTCATCCTACGTCACCGACTGACCACAGCCACTGAGAATGGTGAACATATGCATCTGGTCTCCGCACCAGGATGTTGAATTAAAAAAATAACTATATTCCACAGTATTTTATGCTTCATGTACATGTCGTATGAAATAAACAATTAAAATTACATTTTAATAGAAAATGAGCGAAAATTGTAGAAAATTAAACATGTCCGGTAAAGGTACGCGTGCATTGTACCGCGCCGGACGCACCGGACGCACGGCACGCATCGGATTTCATTGCTTTGTATGAGTACATCATGAGTAAGGCCGGTAACGCATCAGCGGTTCCTCTGGTATAGCTGATGACCATGTGCGTCGTTGAACACCTCGGTGTTCCCGCTGCGAGTTTGCTGACTTTTGTTATAAATAAAAAAAAACATAGCGCCGTCTGTATCGAAAGACGGCATTTATCAACAAGCAATTTATAGAGAAAGGAAAAGCACATGCGATAATTTAGAAAAATTTGAAAAAAAAGAATGAAAATTAAAATAAATAAAGGGAAATAACAAATAACAAAGTGATCCTATAAAGGTTCCGTTTTCTTTTCGACGTACGGAACCCTAAAAATAAGAAAAACATAAAATATTTAAAGATAAAAGTCTGTAGAGGTTCGTTTGTACCGGCAACACAATCTTTATAATCCGTACGTGCGGTGCGTCCGGCGCGGGACAATGTACACGTACCTTAAAAGGCAACTCTGCAGATGTCTATGGCTAGAGATTACTTCGCTATGTTAGTGATTTGATTGTTTATCAGCTACTAAAAAAAAATAACGAAATAAATTAAATATACAGTTGGATCGTGAAAATATTTAAAATAGTTCTTATTTCCTGTTATATTTCCCATGTCTAAAATCAATTTGGTGGTATAGTTGTTTTCAAATATCTTGTCGGCTCTGAACATTTTAGTCGCTGCGCAGTAAACAATGTTAGTTGTAAGGGAAAGGGATGTGGAGGAGGGCACTGCGCAGATTACCTCGAGTCAGTCAAAATATCTGAAACTCGTAACATTTTCTTGTTGTACTATAGTTATGTATCTTCAATAGAACTGTTTGCCTGTTTACTAATTTCAAGAGGCTAATTATTAATTTGTTTTTGTTTGATATTTGTGAAAAAAAAAAATAAAGAAGATTATAATTGGGATATATATATTTTATAAAAAATTCTTTCGTCTAAATTCATCGGTTTATCAAAATAAAAAATTCAATTTAACTTAAATTTAAAAACAGGGTAAAAAAAATCAAATATATTTCAAAATCTTCAAATAATCAATTCATCCATGTTTTTATTTATTTCATCATAGAGTTATAATTTCTACTTCTTTCTTTCATATTAAATTAATCAAAATTTCGTGAGACATTATACTAAACTGATATATAAACACGGCTCACGTATATTCGTCCGGTGGCGGCACCGACTAGTTTCGAGCCCATGGGGGGCCCTTCATCATCGAATATACGTGAGTGTTTAGCCGTTTTTATATTATATAAGTTCTTTCTTTGATTTATTAAAAAGAGAATTTTGTTTGTTTTTTGTATTATGAATCTTTACTATTGACTTTTAGTGCTTTATTGTGAGATAAAAATATTTTATGTATCAACAGAGGACCTAGAATAGATCCCTGGGGAATACCCAAAATAAACAAAAGAGAGTAGTAAAAATTTTTTAGAATTTACTGAAGCTATTCTATTATATTTCAACGAAATTATTTTAAATTTAGAAAACACTAGTATTTTTGTAAAAAATAATGTTTAGAAAGCTATTTTCTCATGATTGATTTAGTCAAAGGCTTTCATAAAATCGAAAAAGATGTATTAATGATCTCTCTCTCTTTTATTTTGCTAGTGTTCTGTTTAGTTTTTAGTGATCCTAGATTGAGAGTTTTTGAACCTAGTTTCATAGCAATGGCGTTATTTGTAATGCTTTATCTTGACCATTTGTCCGTCCTGGGTTAGACAAAGTGCATTCGCTCCTAAGCGATTCCATAACGAACTTCAAAAATGTAAACTGACAATAATTTTCGATAAGTGACGAGATTGTCGCGCGTCAGTGGAATCAGATCGCAGTCAATCGCTTCGATGCGAATGTAGTTTATCGAACCCCGTTGTTTGATTTAATTCAATTAATTTAAACACTCGTTACATTTTCACTAATGTTTAATTTCTCAAACGATCTTTTAGTATCATTTTACATTGATTTTTATCATTTCGTCTAGCAGTTGGTATACATAGATCCTAAATTAACGTCTAAGCTTAATTTTATTCTTATTAACGTATTTCTTAAATGTCTTGTAGCTGTTTCCCGCCTTTATTGACTGCGTAGAATGTTAAAAGTAAAAATTTTATACTAAGGAAAATTTGCCTTTTTTCTAGATAAAAATTTTCATAGATATCGTAAAGATAACAAACCATCCATACATACATTTAAACAATTGCAATTTTAAGATGAAGTTATTTTTTTTTTTCTAGTCAGATTCCTTTACCTCGTTAACTCTGTTAAGGACATACATTGAAATACTGGTACTAAAATAAAGTAGATGTACATTTTATCCGTGCTAGACTCAGCGGGTGCACTACTAAGCCCCAGGATTTTTTTTTATTAATGAATTTCATTCCGAGTTAACTAAACTATATTATTAATATTGTATGTTAAAGGGTTTTATTCAGGAAATAGAAAACAAAATACGTTTTTTATCTTTTAAATGGATGTATGAATTGTAATTTTAAATAATTATTTAAATTGGTTTATTATTTAATTCTAGATGTTATAAGGGGGCATCCATAAATTACGTGTGGTGTTTAAGAGGGGGAGAGGGTCGAGTCAACTCTCGTCTAATCTTACGTTGGAGAGTGGGGTCTCGGCAAATAACACGCAATTTTTTTTTCTGATTGAAATAAAATACTATTTTGGTCCATTTAATCGTAATACGTAAGAAATTCATATTTTGAAAAATCTCACGTGAGATCGGGTGATGGGGTAGGGTAGGGGGTTGAATAAAATCTCACCAGGGGCGGAGGGAGGGGCAGAAAATTTAAAAAAACGCCTCACGTAATTTATGGACGCCCCCTAATAAGTAACTCAACAGTGTCAATGTATCCAT